ATAACGCCATCTCCAAAAAATCGACAACAAGAACAGAAGCTAAACCCACAAGATCAGCAAAAACAAAAGCCAACCGTGACAACAATGATATTAAAACAATAAATAAAAACGACAATAAAAAACACTATAAACAACAACCATAACAACAAAAAACAACAGCATCAACATAAAACAACCACCACCACCACCAACAACAACAACCTCAATAACAACAGCAGCAATAAAAGCAACAGAGATGGTGACAACGATAACATTGATAATTGTTAATTAACGCAACGACAATTCATCTGTGGGTTTAAGTCTCAATTGCTCATTTCAAGCGTCGTTTAGAAACAAAGGGACACAGATAATTACCCATAATAACGTCGCAACCAGGTCCTAATGAGCATTTTTATCATAGTAACCGACCAAACATTTGTATTCACCCGCTGCATACGTTCATTGGTCGATAGTGGGAACAGATGACAATGGGAAGAGACAAGAGAAAAAGAGAAAACGGAACAGAGAGAGAGAGAGAGAAAAGATAGAGAAATAGAGAGAGAACGGGGGGAGGGAGTAAGTGTACACATTGATCAGTGAGGGTGTGGCGTAAGTGTAAACAAGATAAGACCAATACCTGGTTCACAACACCTCGCCTTCCTCTACACTACACTACACTAGCCAACCGTGCAGATGGGGCCAACACGATCAATTGTTTTCATCATGCCTACACTGCCGCGCCTCACCACCACAATACACTTCCATTATCACACTTCCATCACAACACTACCATCACACCTCCATCACCACCACACCTCTATCACCATACCACCACACCTCTATCACCATACCACCACACCTCTATCACACGTCTACCACCATTCCTCCATCACACCTCCATCACCATCACACCTCCATCACCATCACACCTCCATCACCACCACACCTCTATCACCACCACACCTCTATCACCATACCACCACACCTCCATCACCACCACACCTCCATCACCACCACACCTCCATCACCACCACAACTCCATCAGTAATAACGAATATCACATTAGTTTTTTATTGCATTTATCAAAAGTAATGATGTTTAGACAGCTCAATCTACAGTACATTCACGCGATAAAAACATTACACTGATACACGATCAACAAAGAGAATAGTTAACGTCCAGTAATTTACACATATGGAAATCGATTAAGAATACAAAACTACTTTAGATAGATAAATAGAGAGAGAGAGAAACGAGGGGCGATTAAGTGTACACATTGATCAGTGAGGGTGTGTTATACTGTTATAATTTAATTCAGAGAACCACATTCTCCACAATTCGTAAGTTCATATATTTTACGTAGAAGAGAGATTTTTGTAACATATTCTGTATATTGTGTTGCCAGAGTGCTCAGGGCGTGAGAACTTTGTGGCTGCTTCATGTGTTTTCAAGTCTCTAGTTAAGGGGAAAAATTGTCTTAAGAACCTTTGAAACTTCGACCTTTAGAATCAAATGTTTTTACTCTTCAGGTACCGGAGAGGATATTATGAACACTCTTTGTGTGTGTGTGTGTGTGTGTGTGTGTGTGTGTGTGTGTGTGTGTGTGTGTGTGTGTGCGTGCGCATGTGTGTGTTCTTCAGTTGGTTATTACAGAGAGCTTCACTCCATCAAACTCAACACACTCTTTATGGATCCGTTTATTGCAGCAGCCAGGTGTGTGTACTCAGTAAGAAACATACAACTCATAATTATCATGGCCCTGTTGTACTGAGAGCATGAGAGGCGCTCGATGCTAAATAGATAGATAAATCATAAGGGGAAAGTTTACATATTAAGACATATTAACACTAATTGAGTCTACTAAGGTAAGATTGAGTGAGTGTGAATGTATAAGAATATAAATGAATAAGTGAATGTAGTATTGTTGAAATAGTGTGGGTGTACATATAGATAAGAAATAATGCATGATTGAGTACATTAAAGCGAAGCCGGAATCGAGTGTTTGTACATGAACAAGACTAATTGAGTAGTATGAGTGAATAGAAAAAGCACTTTATGGTTCATAAATACTTTTATTAGCATGCAAGTGTCTGTTAAGTGCAAGAGACAACAAACCAAAATTTGCTGCCGCTCAGAGGAAGAAAACAAAGGTATGTGCAAGATGAATACATGAATGAATGCGAGTCGAGTGCGTGAGTGAAGTTAATAAAGTGCATGAGTGAGGGTGGCTTTCAAGCACCAATTCACTTGCCACCATAAGGAGACAAATCTATTGTTTATCACCAAAGACTTCTTGATGCATTCAGTTCGGTATAACACAATAATAAAAGTGCTTTTTCGTATTCAGTGACCCAAAAGGCGAGTGTGAATAAAATATGTCTCGTTTGTGTGTGTGTGTCTGTGACCAGAATGGAAAGAAAGTGCTATTGATACTTGGAACCTGGATGCCTTAGGGTTTTTAAAGGTTAAATATACTAAGAGACGTGGACGTTTGGTAAACTGAAAGGAGACTATTGAAGAAAGAGTGGAAGACCTAAAAGGAGATGGAAGAGTGGCACTAAAAGAGGGAATAAATAATGTAAGAATCAGTCGTAAATAACAGGAGACCACGGCACTGGGTATTTTTAAGGCGTTTGACGTGCCATTATTTATGATATCAAAGTGTGGGAGGCGAGTAACTGGACCTATAAGCGGTCTTATAACAGGGAGTACCATGTACAGCAGATTTATTACAACAGTGTAAAAAAGATAACAGACTGGAAGGAGGGGCAGCGCTTCCTCTTCATACCAGTAAAGATACAGAAGAAAACCCACAACATTTTTTTTTACAGTATTGCGAAGAAAATTATCCTGAAATTCGTGGTTTACTGAACAGAAAGAGACGAGGTTTTATAGTAATGAAATACAGCATCCACCAACACCCTAATATAGCACTTATCAACACCCTAATATAGCACTTATCAACACCCTAATATAGCACTTATCAACACCCTAATATAGCACTTATCAACACCCTAATATAGCACTTATCAACACCCTAATATAGCACCCATCAACACCCTAATATAGCACCCATCAACACCCTAATATAGCACCCATCAACACCCTAATAAAGCACTTATTAACACCCTAATAAAGCACTAATCAACACCCTAATATAGCACTTATCAACACCCTAATATAGCACCCATCAACACCCTAATATAGCACCCATCAACACCCTAATATAGCACCCATCAACACCCTAATAAAGCACTTATTAACACCCTAATAAAGCACTAATCAACACTCTAATATAGCACCCATCAACACCCTAATATAGTACCCATCAACACTTTAATACAGCACCCATCAACACCCTAATATAGTACCCATCAACACCTTAATATAGCACCCATCAACACCCTAATATAGCACCCATCAACACCTAATATAGCACCCATCAATACCTAACCCATCAAATATAGCACCCATCAATATATAGCACCCATCAACACCTTAATATAGCACCCATCAACACCTTAATATAGCACCCATCAACACCTAATATAGCACCCATCAACACCTAATATAGCAATCAACACCCCAATATAGCACCCATCAACACCTATACCCATCCAGCACCATCAATATAGCACCCATATATATCATAGCACAACACCCTAATAAAGCACTAATCAACACTCTAATATAGCACCCATCAACACCCTAATATAGTACCCATCAACACTTTAATACAGCACCCATCAACACCCTAATATAGTACCCATCAACACCTTAATATAGCACTCATCAACACCCTAATATAGCACCCATCAACACCCTAATATAGCACCCATCAACACCCTAATATAGCACTTATCAGCACCCTAATATAGCACCCATCAACACCCTAATATAGCGCCCATCAACACCCTAATATAGCACCCAGCAACACCTTAATATAGCACCCATCAACACCCTAATATAGCACTTAACACCCTAATATAGCACCCATCAACACCCTAATATAGCACCCATAATACCTTAATATAGCACCTAGCAACACCCTAATGTAGCACCCATCAACTCAATGTAAAGTGTTTGGTCAGACATATATCAAACACACTCCAACACTACGTCCTTGACCGTGTGAAACTAGAACCATTTAGGGACACGTCCAAACACACTGTGTGAAATGGCACAACACTATCTCTAATGGCAAGATAGCTGACATAAAAATGTTATCCACTTTTTTTACACTCAGTAGCTACATCATTTCCCATGTATAGAACCAAACAAAGTGTGCTTGAATACCTCTCGAGCAAACGTGAATAACACAGTGTGTGTGGCCAGGAATATTGCCTCGCACTGCTGTACACACTCATTTGTGAATAAGTCGCCCTGTATGTACAAAACTAAACAAACAATGTACAGTATTTGAAATATTCTGTAACATTCAATGCTTCAATACTCTAACCATTAGGCTCTCTTAAACACACCTTTTGTCACCACTTCTACTCAGTAATCTTCTTGCTTACCGCTCACAGGAGGAGTATGGAGTGCACAACAACAAAATCACTGTAAATGGCAAAATTCAATTCAATTCATCAACAGCATAAGATTGCTGTAATTTTGGGACTTTTGAGTACTACCCTTTAATTTTGAATTATTGACGACAATTGTATGTACAGTACAGTCACATACACTTATACCTGGTACAGTGGCTGGCGCGTTTTGCGAGATGCGGCAACTCTGTGGAATGCTTATCTAGCATCCCTAGTCTGGCTACTATTGTGAGGTTCCTTATAGCCAATCCGAGAGTTTTCATAAGATGTAAATAAACACAGAGCAGCCACATCTCACAAAACGTGCCAGCCACTGTACCAAGTGTAAGTGCAGGCGACCGTACAATGGGTGTTAGCGCACAGTAATACATAATGACATCATTTCTTCACTTAACAGGGGAGGAGGTGAGGGTTTTCTCGCTACAGCCGGATATCTGGAGTCCACCTCGAGATGACGTCTATCTAAGATTCAACATGACCCAACAAAAGGTAGCGACCAGCCTCACCAACCTCACCGTGTGTTCCAGAGTGTTCTTCACGGCCTTGACTAAACTACAGGTCCTCTTCTCCTACGCCACTGCTGATGACTTCTCCAACGCCCTTATGATGTGTAAGTATGTACAGAATGACGTAATTTGGGTAAAAAGTAATGAATCCTACAGACACTATTCAGTAACCTAATAAAAGTAATCACAGAACAAGGATGGACGCCAGAATACAAAGACAGTATAATATCATACACGATCAATTAAGAAACATGTCCAAGGAAGCTTACAGTATTAACTGTCAGAAACTAATCACAGACACAGACGTTAATTACCCCAACCCGAAACAATTCTGCCGAAAAAAATGAACACCTAATGGGAACCTCCAGCAATTAAATCAAAGTATATCTTAAATAACAATCAAATCAAATGAACAAAACCGAAAGAACAAGAACCCAAATTCAGGAACTACTGAAGTAAAATATTTCATATCACTCCCGAAGAAAACCTGAACTTCTGTATGAACACCGACCGACAAATGACCATTCACATGACACACAACCGAGTACCAAGATAGACACAAACACTCTCGACGATCTATCCCCACTGACCAAACATATCACAGCAGACGACAAACACAGAGCAATAAATAGTTTCAAGAACAAGGCTCCAAGCATTAGTAAAATACACAACTCATACTCCAGCATCTACCTAACAACATAATACACCAACTCGGAAATATATTTAATTCATCTCTCGCCTCTGGCTCCTTCCCAAAGCCATTTGCCAGATACGTTCAACCTTCTTCCACAATAAAATATAACAAGGCTATAATACACAAATAACCATATTATGTCTTATTCGATTACACAAGTTTGAAAGCGGAGAATGACGTTACAATACAAAATATATTAAATAAATTTCAATTAAGATAAAGAAGAAATCTTGATAGCTCTACAATTTTGTTCAGTAGTGTACGATGTCTTTTTTTAAATACAGTGATATTATGTTTACTTTCTGCTTTCTTCAAATTTGTGCAGTAATTTAAAAGGAAGGAATTTTCACGGGTTAAGTGATGTGACCTGTGATACCGTTTTTATTTCAGACATCAGGGACGGAGTTCATTTCATCCGCTACAACAACATTCCGCAGACGATCATCGAGACCTTAGAGCTACCGACGGTGTTACGACAGTGGAGGTGCTACTGCCACGTCTTCTCCGGTGACACGTACACGGTCTACGTAGACGGCGTGGCCCTAGCTAGTAGCCCTATCCAAGTGGACGACCGCGTCCTCCCCCTTAACGGCACCTTCGTGGTGGGTCAGGAACAAGATAGTCTGTCAATGAAGATGAATCGTCAACAGATTCTGAAGGGTTACGTCACTCAGATCAACATGTGGAATTATGGCCTCTCTAGTCACGAGATAGCGGCTGTAGCAAATTGCTTCAGAAACATCATTGGTAATATTTTCTCTGCCGACTTAAACGAAGTGGAACTTATAAATGTCGAGGAAGAAAAGAGATCACTTAAAAGTTTTTGCTTTAAGGAAGAGAAGTTCATAATTTTTCCAGAGAAACGAATCTTTGTGGAAAGCACAAAGTTTTGCCGTCGAGTTGGATCTCAACTGTATGCTCCTCTAAACCGTGAAATGAATACACAACTGAATGCCACTATGGTGAAACTCGACATCTGTGGCGGAGCCATGAACATGTGGATCGGTGTGACTGATGAAGAGGAAGAAGGAACTTGGAGACGTATCACTGACGGTAAAGTGTTAGAGAACATACCGTTCGCTGGTGGCCAGCCTGACAACACGAGGGCAGAGAACTGTATGATGATGGTCGGCGATGAAGGAAGTTGGGCGGACTTTAAATGTTACGAAAAAAACGAAGCTTGTGTCTCTTGTGAGGAACGTCCAGGAACGACGCTCTATTTGAGAGGTACCTGCCAAGACATGAGGACCAGTACCATGTTTGAGAATCTCGGGTACTACTCACAAAAGCCGTATTTTCACGGTTTTCACGGATATATGATACGAAAGTACGACAGCAAAAAATGGATACTTCATAACACTGAGACTAACTCGACTCTGGCGTACCTGAGTCTGGCATCCAGTGATCAGTATCCTTTAGGGAGACAAAGGTGGTCACTGGCAGCTCCCATATGTCATCAGCCAGAGGGGAGTGAACGTGATCTCAGTTTATCTATATGTGAGGCGGGACAATACATGTGTGACGACGGGCAGTGCATCGACCTGGCCGCTCGCTGTGACGCTAAGGATGACTGTGATGATGAGACGGACGAGGACAACTGCTCCATCCTCCAGATTCCCGCAGGATACCGGAGCTTCAAACCTCCCAAGAACATAGCCAACGCCTCACAGCCACTTCAGCCTCACATTATATTTAAGTTCCTACGCTTCCTAAACATTGCCGACGTCCAACAAGCGATTCATCTGGAGTTTATCGTCACAATGAGTTGGATGGACTCCCGACTCAAGTATCGTAACCTCCGCTCTATCATACACGCCAACAAGCTTTCCAGTGAGGAGAAGGGCAGTATCTGGAGGCCCGAGCTGGAGTTTCCCAACGTCAAAGATGGACAGTTGAATCTCCTCAAGGAGAATGTTTTCGTACAGAAGGTGGATGACTCGCTGCCTGTTGACTTTAACGTGGTCAATATGGGTGAGTCGCGTGCTGTAATGTTTGTACTTTACAAACATGTGTTACCTTGAATCAATAGTTCTTTATACGAGTACATTATTAGACAATATCGTATTCCATTTTATTAGCTCAGATCGCAATATAATTCTCTTTAATGATTATATTTAATTCTGCAGCCAATGAATTCCATCCTTAGTGAATGATATATTTTGATTACATATTCCCATGTTAACTATTTAATACTTTAAAATCGGTTTCAATTAGCACTTGAGATGATCTGTGCAACTCGCCAGAAACATTCAATATGATTGGTGTTTATTAACTATGTATTTTTCATGTTGTCTTTTGTGGTTTTGCTTCGTCAGTCTTCACAAAGACCTTGTCATCGCTTTATGCTCTTTAACCAAATTGGTTTAATTAATTTTGTTGCATTAAAGTAACTCATTAACTTTATGAATCTTCTCGGTAGTTGTAAAATCATGTAGTCGACAAAAATAACTATGCTTTTTTTAATATTAATATAATTTATTTACTTAGTTTTCTACATAATATAATATCTAAGTTTTAAACACCGTGAGAAGGTTTAAGTAAGCTGGTGTACTGTAAACATGTGACGCAGTTCTCATAAAGTTTCCTTAGTTAAAGATAATGATAAACATGTGTAATAAAATTAAGTAAGTTTTTTACCATTTACCCATTAAATTCCAATGACTTTTTGTAAGAAAAATTTATCTTTACATGTCGTTATTACAAACATGATTTACTGACGAGTACAAACAATGACAAAAATAAATACAAACGTGCTAGAACACAGATCCTAACTTTACCGTCCTCCTCCACCGTCTTCTATCTTCGGAGCAAATGGCTCTCTTCTCTCCATCTCCTCATCACCATCACGGAAAAGCATATTATTTACATATTTGAATGTATATACTTTAAGATAAATCATGGTTAGAATCTGTTCTCATTTTACGGAGTCTTTTCATACCCAAATATTTACACTCGCCACTTACGCGAGTCATACATTAAAGAGGTAACTCGGCTAGATTCTCAAACGTCTTCACACTATCTTATTAGCATGATGTCAGCTAAGTAATAATCTGCTTTTGCCGACTTAATTAGATGCCTTTCGTGCGTGATGGTACCAATACTAAAAGCCCAAAAGATGTGGAAATATCCCTGGGACTCTTAGTTTGGATGGATGATGATAAATCGATGACGACCACATTTACTTCTCAGACAAAATGTACGGAGGATCTGCTGCCCTCATTATCCAACATCAACACTACAGCGGCAGCTTCGTCTGTACCTTCGACGTCTTCTACTACCCATTTGATGTGCAGCGGTGCGGGGTGATGGTGCAGCTGTCCTCACTGAGTAAAGAGCTGGTTGCCTTCACCAAGAGCAGAGCGAAGGTGGAGTACGACCAGGACAAGAATCTCCCCACCTACATAATCAGTGACTTCTACGCCCATCACAAAACAAATACCAACAGGGAGAGTCTACTGGAGGTCTGTTAACTGTCTTTGTTAGTGTACTTGTTATTTGGTGTTTGTTAGGTCATGGTACTCTCTTTTACCAATATATGTTAACGTGTCACGAATATTTTTAGTACTGTTTTGCGGATGTTTTTTGCTATTGTCAATTATATTATGCTCATCTATCTATTCTTTTACTTCGCTATATTGTATTAAATAAGGAATCAAAAGAAGACAGTCCTAGGTGATACATCGTCTGTAGTCTTGATTAAGTGATAAAGGATGGTGAGTGTACAGGTGTCATCCCTCCCTGCAGGTGGGGTACACACTAACGAGGCGCTACACCCTGATAGTACTCTCGGTCTTCATGCCCTCCACCATGCTGCTCACCATCGGCTACTCTACACTCTACGTTAAAGTCCAGCTGCTGCAGGTGTGTCGAGGATAAGTGCCTGTAGGCTGACGAGCGTTCGCCTGGCGTGTGTTCCGTAACTAAGAGCGTCATGACGTGATGGAAGAGAGATTTTGGCGCTATATTTATATTATGAGTTTGTGTTAGTGTTGGCATTTAGGGTTATATTATTCTAACTTTGAATAACGTATCATTTATATCATTCTAACAGTCACGTGATACTAATGCTTATCAACTCTCACCATGGCCCAGGTTCGTCTAGTAGTCAGCCTAACGACTCTCTTGGTGCTCTACACATTCTTCAACCAGACGTCTTCCTCGTTGCCTCAGACGGCGTACGTCAAGATGATCGACGTGTGGTTCTTCTCCTGCACCATTCTCCTCTTCGTGATCATCATTGTCCACGTCTTCGTCGAGTGTCTGGAGTCAGAGGCCATGATTCGTGTAGGGCCAAAGTTTTCCCCGTTGCCTTCGAGGTTGACGCCAGATCGACTGTTGCGCCTCTTCCGCTTGGTGCTGGTGCCTGTCGCGGCGTTCGTCTTCACTGTTGTCTACTTCACTATGCTCTTAACATAGTCCTGCGCTCGCTTATGGTGGACATTGATTTAAATGTATTATATGGAGGTTTCATATCTAACGGACCTCAATATAGTGGACTACTCTCCCAAATACTCTGTCATATGGAGGTTACATACCTAAAGAACCTCAATATAACGGACTATTCCCTCCCTTATTTGTCAGTCAAACAGAAGTCACTGTATAACGTTCCCCTAACCGAACTCTCAAACTCTGGTTTTAGAAGTATGACTAGCTTGTCTCTTCTAAAAACCTTAAGTTTAAAGGTATGAACTTAACCTGTATCATCCATCGTTTAAACTTCAGATACAGCAGATGTAAACTTGGATTAAAAAAAACAATATTTACATCTTGTAGTTCAGAGAATAAGATTATACGACTTCTCATATTAATCGAAATTCGAGTGATATTATTAATCAACCTTTTCGGACTTTTATTTTTCTTTAGTCTCACCTTTGTTGTGGTATTAAATCATCCCTTAATAGGTTATCAAAGACATAATTGTTCTAGAGTTAAAACATCCTGTGTGAACAATTTACCATCTCTCATACACTACCTTTCATGCATCTATACTAATAAACATCCATAATCTATTATTCTATTTATATATTATTTTTTCCAAAAGTAAATAATAAGCTTCTTTGTGCCTGGTGTATCTATATTGTTTCGGCTCACAGTGACTGGGTGAGGAACCTGAGCTATAAGAGAGTAGTGAAGGTAATATACGGTAGTTAGCTCATCGTTATGAGAATATTGGCTGTGCTGAAGGTCGTGTTTGTCAACGTATAAATTGTGTTTTATAACAAAAGATCACCGGGTGTTTGAACATCTTCTGGTGTTTTGACTGATCAATAAAATGGTCTTTATTTTGATTCCTCAGTTAACGCCTAAAAGTTATAAGAAAATGCTAGAACACCAAGAAATTATATCGGTAGAAGTCATATATAAACAACGTTCTCAGCCTAGCGACCAAAGTTGTCAGAAGCATCACATGCATGACGCTCACTACCCACGTAGTGCGGCAGATAACTCCCTACACTGGATATCTCACAGCTAACTCATTCAGGTGGAAAAAAAATGCTGCACAACCATGAAAAAAATACGACGTTCCACTCGTTCCTCTGAATATATTAGCAGACACCGACTCTAGCCACACATCCTCCAGTGGATGCTACAAGGACCCCAACCATACATCCTCCATTGGATGCTACCAGGACCCCAGCCACACACCTTCCAGTGGATGCTACCAGGACCCTAGCCACACACCCTCCAGTGGATGCTACCAGGACCCCAGCCACACACCCTCCAGTGGATGCTACCAGGACCCAAGCCACACACCCTTGAGTGGATGATACCAGGACCCCAGCCACACACCTCCAATGGCTGATACCAGGACCCCAGCCACACACCCTCCAATGGATGCTGCTGGACCCCAAGCCACACACAATGTTGACGCAGCTGAGCAAACAAATAACCATTTCGCTACTATATGCCAGACGCTCCCCGGCTTGACACAACCACTCTCCCTGCTTACCTACCAGCCCCCCTTCCCACCGACTTAGTAGAAGAATTTGAAGTAGCAAAACGCCTGGACAAACTAAAATTAAAAAGCTCTACCACCCCCATTGACTTACCAATGAAACTCTTCAAGGAGTTCTCCCCGGAGCTTGCTAAACCCCTATGCTCCATCATCAATGCTTCTCTCATTCAAGCCAGATGCCCAGCTGACTGGAAGACCTCTTATGTATCACCAGTGCCCAAGTCAACCAGCCCACAATCCTTAAATCAGCTACGACCTATTGCAATCACCCCAATACCCAGCCTAATCTGTGAAAGTTTTGTGTTCGACTGGGCTTATGCTGATATTGCAGGAGTCGTAGACCCTCAGCAATTTGGCAACATGAAAACTTCCTCCACCACTCACTGTCTTGTCAGCTTTCTCGATTACATATACCGCCATCTCGAGAAACGAAAAACGTTGTAGCTGTCGCCTTCATTGATTTCATAAGGCATTCGACCTAGTCGACCACAATATAATCATCAACAAAGCTATTGACCTCGTGCTTCGGAGAAGTCTTATACCATGGCTTACAGACTTCCTCAGTGACCGACGCCAAGCTGTACGCTTCCGAGGGGCTGTCTCCACCTTTCAGTCACTCACCTGTGGCGTCCCCCAAGCCACCAAGATGGGATCACTCTGCTTCCTTATGCTCATCAATGATGCCCTAAGAGAAACCCCTGCTCGCTGGAAATATGTCGACGACTCCACCATTGGGATCAGCCAACAATTTCCCAACTATACCGCCCTTCAGGATTTATTGAACAGTCTCCAAAACTGGGGCACCAACAACCATGTCACCATCAACCATACCAAGACCATGGTTATGCACATCAACCTCTCCTCCGACATTGTCCCACCTCCTTCCATTACTCTAGGTCCGAACACACTCCAGGTTGCAGATTCCACGAAGCTCCTCGGCGTCACCATAGACAACAAACTAAATTGGAAACCACACGTCAGTGAAGTTGTCAAATCCTCCAGTTTCCGTCTCCACCTCCTCCGCCGACTCAAGTCCCTCGGAGTTCCTGCACCCGAGCTCCTCAGTGTTTAAACAACATTCATACTTCCCAAGCTCACCTATGCCTCCCCCACAACGTAAACACCTAGAAAAAGTGCAAAAGAGGGCATGCATTATTATTCTCTCCCCTTCCTACTCCACATATCAAGAAGCGCTCAACACACTGACCCTTTCGACTCTCACTGACCATCACCACGACCTCATCTGCAAATTTGGTAAGAAGCTTCTACACCATCCTCGACACCGGCTCCTACTACCACCTGAGATCCCTAGCCCGAGAATTGCTGTTCGACACCACAACCGCATCCAGCCCATACGTGCACGAACTGATCGCTATAAGAACAGCCCAGTCCCAACCATTGTAAAAATTATCAATAACTTGTAATAAACCAGTGTATTCACTCCTAGTAAACACTACTCCTTGCACTGTCACTATGTTGAAATGAACTGTAGTTTGAGCTTTTCCCCATCTAGTTATTATATATCTTATTTGTATCACTTATGTTACTTGTATATTATTTGTAATTCGAAACCCATTCCCCAAATATGTAACTGTATATTTTCAGCCTTCTGGCTGCCAAGCTCTTTCAATAAACCGTTAATTATTATTATTATTATTATTATTATTATTATTACACCCTCCAGTGGATGCCACCAGCACCACGGCCACACACCCTCCAGTAGATGCTACCAGGACCCCAGCCACACACCCTCCAGTGGATGCTACCAGGACCCCAGCCATACACCCTCCAGTGGATGCTAGCAGGTCCCCTGCCACACACCCTCCAGTTCATGCTACCAGGACTCCAGCCACACACCCTCCAGTGCATGCTACCAGGACCCCAGCCACACACCCTCCAGTGGATGCTACCAGAATCCCAGCCACACACCCTCCATTGGATGCTACCAGGACCCCAGCCACACACCCTCCATTGGATGCTACCAGGACTCCAGCCACACACCCTCCAGTGCATGCTACCAGGACCCCAGCCACACACCCTCCAGTGGATGCTACCAGGACCCCAGCCGCACACCCTCCAGTGAATGCTACCAGGACCCCAGCCACACACCCTCCAGTGGATGCAGGACCCCAGCCAGACACCTTCCAGTGAATTCAACCAGGACCCCAGCCGCACACCCTCCAGTGGATGCTACCAGGACCTCAGTCAAACACCTCCAGAGGATGCTACCAGGACCCCAGCCACACACCCTCCAGTGGATGCTACAGGACCTCAGCCCACACCCTCCAGTGAATGCTACCAGGACCCCACACACCCTCCATTGATGATACCAGGAGCCCCAGCCACACACCTCCAGTGGATGCTACCAGCACCCCAGCCACACACCCTCCAGTGGATGCTACCAGGACCCCAGCCACACACCCTCCAGCGGATGCTACTAGGACCCCAGCCACATACCCTCCATTGGATGCTACCAGCACCCCAGCCACACACCCTCCAGTGTATGCTACCAGGACCCCAGCCACACACCCTCCAGCGGATGATACCAGGACCCCAGCCACGCACCTTCCACACGAGATCTTAGTTCACACTTCAATGGCTGAGAATAGCGGGTCACTTTACCTTGTCTCCTTGACGCCCTCATGTACTAACGGTTGTTACATTCTTTTTTTTTTACTATTAATGCTTATTTTCAGCCCACAGTTACACATAGCGCCATATCCTTAAACTTAATCATGTTTAACAGTAAGCATTGGTCACGGAGACGTTAACATATATAACCTTTATAATAACCTTGTATAATATTGTCGAAGAAATAAGCTTATTGTAACTTTTTCTCCAATAAATCACTAAAGAAAATGTGTAGAAACTGCCTAAGCAAAAAAACATCATACTTGCCATCTCGATGTCGCAGTTACAGAAGGTCTGTTACAGCCAATAGGTATACGTCACAGTTTAAACTAACCCTGATTTAGGTATGCAACAGAGCAGTTTAGCCGGTAATGCACTCGACCATCTTCACGTTGCCCAATTGTCATGTTAGGCACTTAAATCACATCTGGGTGAACCAGCAAACCACCCAAAAACTTTAAGGAACTTTGTTCAGAAACTTCTTTAACGTAAACATCACAGGAGTGATAACTATAATTTTCCACCAGCAAATTTATGTTTTCTGCTCATAGGCAGTAAACTGAATTAACAGATTCAAGAGTATGCAGTCATTATTTAATGCTCTCCGCCTTAATATACATTTTTCCTTTAAAACAAGCACATCCTCTCGATCCTTCCAGTAGATAACGAGTAAAGCGGGATGGAAGTTTAATCTGAAATTTTTTGCCAGGTTGGTGAAAGTTAACAGTTCTGATGGAAAACTGTACTGTATATACTATTTCACATTCCTATTTTGCTTTCTTTATCTCCTATTACTGTAGATAAGCATCTGTGCGTCACAGCAAACTTGTTCGAAAAGTGTCTGCTCCACCAAAAAATAAAAATAAATAAAAAATACCCTCAAATATACACGTCCATGGTTCCATAATACGAGTAGCAGAAACAGTACTCACCTCGCCCTGGAGGTAGAGGAAGCCTTGGCGTCACCCATCATGTCCTGGGCCATGGACCATCCTGCCTGAAACAAAATTCATTAATGAGGCCACAGTTTTCTTTTCCTTACTCTGATTATATACAACTTTGTTACTTAAACGAAAAATTATAACAGTAACACAATAGCTGGTGGATTCTTTCATCCTTCAACAAGCATCAGTATAGATCCTCGATATAACTCGATACAGAACCTCAAAGAGTAACTCACTGACAAACTTCAAATGATAATTTTCCGGTGCTGAGAGTCTTAATCGTACATTCAGGATTATTTTTCAACCATTTTCTCTTAAACAAATGATGCCAAATACTTGTATGTCCTTTTACCCTTCATAGTCGTGCCCACTGTCAGGTTTCAGTTATCTTTCAAGGTCATAAGGCTTTAATTATTCTGTGTGAAACCATTGTTATGTAATATTAACACTAATTTTGCACATAAACTACCAATTTTTCTGACTAGTTACTATTTCTGTTGACTTTCTACCCAGGTCGAAAAAAACTGCATATTGCGCAGTTTTTACAAGTTTCGTGCTTCTTTCCGGTGTTTTTATTTTCGGAATAAATAATTACACTACCAAGCATCCGCCCCCAAAGACTCGAACGTTCTGTTTACTTACATTTCACCTCATGTTTAGCCTATTGCTCCTGCATTATTCAGTCTCACTCAGGTATTCTGTATCACTATAGGAGAGTAGTAGCAAACGCAATGTTGGAATGCACAATATATTGACAAGAAACACCAACAACCAGCAATAATCAAACATTAACAATCGCCACACTCATACAACAGTTATATAAATATATAACAATACCCAAACAATCACCCTAATCCTACCACATAGAAATGTACATAAATATTATAAACTTACATTACATCCTAAGCCATAGTAACACAATTTGCTATCAACCACAACCGGCTCCGCCGACCAGCGACCACCAACTCCACACCCTCGTCCGTCCTGGAATGCTCTGCCCTCCTCCGCTTCATTACAACTCTGTTCGAGATCTGAACAACACAGATACGGAGCTCCGGAGAGCCTAACCATGAGCCCAAGCTATGGGCCCAAGCTCAGGCCATCCACTGTTTCCATAATCGATGACTCGAGGTCCGGAACAACGAGTTGGGAGATCGAGTAACGGGGATGGAGCAGTGGTCGTGCAGCAGCCAAACACGGGTAAATGGTCAGGTACTAGTCGGGACCTCAAGCATATTCTATATCAAGCTTCGTGTTTTCTTGTTTCCTTGTGGTTATCAGCATATACCTGGATCACGCGCACCTACAGCGATTAACTTGCATATATATATATATATATATATATATATATATATATATATATATATATATATATATATATATATATATATATATATATATATATATATATATATATATATAGATTGAATTTTCAAATTAAAACCAGTGATATAGGTTCAGTATTTGACATATTAACAACTAATAAGCGTGAGGAGAGCGACACTGAACCAAGTGTGCTTTACTGAGTCAGGTTACCCTTCGCTGTCACACTCAGTTAAACTCAACATATTTTATCTTTCACATGTGGTGTGAAATAGCGGTCCTCACTTACGACCCATTCTGATCACTATTATAACCAACACTAATACACCAAACAGATAATACAAGAGACTTAATGTGAAATGAAAACATGATGCGATTAGTGCTGGGGAAAATGTTGGCATATCAGTTTCTCCGGAAAATATGTAAAATGTAATGCGTACCAACCAGAACAAGAAACCGATACGAATGAGTCTAAAGGTTCGAAGTAACAGACTCAAATTCATACATCTGAAGCAGGCAGTGCAGCAATGGCTGGCTGGGAGAGTTAACGAATTTTTGGGTGAAACTGTACCTTAGTCATGCCTGATACCTTACCAGAAGTAGAAGAGCTTCAGGATTTCTCCATTCATACTGGAGTGCTCCTGACAGATAATGAATGTATGTCTTTATTGGAGGAGTTCGTGCAACTCTTCGATGACATTCCGCATCCCTGTACATTGGTGGAACATGACGTGGTGCTCGACCCATCAGCAAGCACCCTACCGAGTTAACCCAAGAAAACGTATTTCTTCAAAAGGAGGTGAAGTTCCTGTTGCAGAGTGGCTTAGTGGAACCTACTAAGAGGCTCAAACCACCATTCACTGTTACCCAAAGCTGTTATTTCAGGGTTCTCTTGGTTGGTCAAATGAGCTGGAGGGTCGTAACATGTAATAGAGGCCTGTCCTAGGAGAATTGTACCATTGTAAGTGGATAGGTGCATCGTGGTATACTGTGGATAAGGTAATTTTTTACCATTGTGAGTGAAGAAGTGCGCAGCTAGGTGAGGTGATATGTTATTGTGAGAAGAAACTGTACGTTGAATAAGAATAATATGATGGCGGACCGGTTAAATGTGGCATACAAATGTATAGGGAGGAGGTATCATGAAAACAAAATATAAATAAGGTTCGGTATCAATCTAGTGACAAAGGTCAGAGGAACCAAGTGTATAATAAATATTCAAGACAACAAGGGTCAAATAATTATAAAGGTGGACAAAATAGCATTGTGTCTCAAAGTCATCCATAAAATTTCTCAAGACCACACTCAAGTTATAATAACAATAAGAGCAGGCAGGGGAGACTGTCAGTCAAGTGTTTAGCATGTGGAGTCATTGGTCAGGCCAAATATAAATGTACAAATTTGTCTAAGTCGGCAGGTTTAACTGTCTTGTTGGAAGCCTCAGAATGAGTGTATTGAAGTACGAGGTACTAAGAACAGTGAAGATAAACGTTGTGCTAAGAGTTTAATTTATAAATGAGGGAACAATTTCATTGGGCGAGGGTCCTTAGAAAAAGATTGTGATCCTGAGGGACACAGGAGCTAACCAACGCGTAACCCTAAAAAATTCAACAGAGTGGACAGGAGATTCATACTCTGGTGAAGTGGCTAGACTGAGAGGGTTAGGAGCAGGGCTGACTATTCCACTGCATTATGTAAACCTTGAAACAGGATTTGTTAGTGGTCAGGTCAAAGTGGGTGGAAGTAACGAACTTCCCATACAAGGGAGGGAAGTCCCCCTCCCGACCTCAACTTGTGACTGTGTGCCTCAGAGTTCTGTCTTTCCCTGTGTGTATCTCGGAAGGAACTGTCGGTCCCTTACATTGGCGGTGTCAGGCCGGCAGATGCCGTTATTAATTAACACTAATCTGGATGTGTCGAGACAGCTGTGTTTGCCCAGGTGGGTGGTGCTGGCTAAAGGGTAGTTTCTTGAGTTAACACCGTCATGACGCCGGTTTAACTAAACACGTGGCGGTGAGAACTCTGTTTCCCTTTGTGACCGTGACCTCCTTTGGGTCAGATCTTAATCTCACTAGTTACTGTAGGGTGGGTCAACTTACTTCTGCTTACTGTTATATTTGCTGTTTTTCTCTGGGCTACAAGCTATGGTCTGATAAACACTCATTACAGATGACACATATAGACAGTGATCATGGTAATATCATATGCAGTATTTAGAATAGCCCCGGAGGCGAAAATGCAACCACATTTTTACAAAAAATAACTGCTACCTATCAGTAGCACTTCCATCATAGTTACTAATTTGTATGTTTTTTTCTGTTGGCTTGGTTTGGTCTGACAAAGGTCACTATGGGCAGACTTAATGTTGTTGCAGATGCTTTGTCCCGCATCTCCATCTCATGAGCCAATTCGAGATCGGTTCATGTCTTGAAGAGGGGAGGTATTACAGTCGGCTCCTTCTAAGAGAATTGATTAGTTATCCATTAAGGTACTACCATACTCTTTCAGTTCAATAGATGCTTCAGTAAAAATTATTTATTTTCATTTATAATACTGTATGTTAGGATGATTATTCATATTGTTTTAATGTTTTAAATATTTTAGTAAATCATAGTGCTTGAATTTCTTCAGTAAAAATTATTTATTTTCATTTATAATACTGTATGTTAGGATGATTATTCATATTGTTTTAATGTTTTAAATATTTTAGTAAATCATAGTGCTTGAATTTAATCGGCAGCTTTAACAAATTTATACGAAAGTAACATCTCTGATTTCATGCTCTCTTTCGAGTGGTGTCGCTTTATAATTGGCGCGTCCTTGGGGGAATTTGGGTTTGTATAACTGTAAAATTGCGGTGTCAGGATCCATTTTTTTATTATTGTGGTGGAGTTCTGTGTTGGGGGTTATAAGAGAAAGCCATATAATTATTGAGAGGATAGATATTTGAGAGAAATTAGAGTCGAGTTATGCTGTGTGTTGTGCTGGGTGGCTGCGGCCGAGTGTAAACTTGTAATTTGAGCTGTTAGTGTATTCCTCTTTCTTTAATATACTTTGTTTATTGCTGCCAGTGAAGTTTTATACAACCCCATAGCATTGTATGGGTATTTCCAAAGTTACACCAGCTTTCAGGTGATGGTCTATCTATATTATCTAATCATAGAGTTTACATATTTCACTGTTAACCAAGGCTGTTATTTTAGGGTTCTCGTAATTAATTGGTCAAAGGAGCTGGGGGGTCTTAACAAAGGAAAATAAAAAAGGAAAATTGCCTTGCAAATGCTTTTAAAAATGGTGGTAAAATGCCTTAGTTTAGGTTTTATTTAATAATATAAAACCTCTACACTTGGGAAAGACAATTTCCCGAACTAACCCAAGTATATCTGAAGAACATGAAACTTGGAAGCTTTAGGGCTGCATTAGGCTCTTGTAGGGAAATTACTTGGATTCCCTCTAGGAAATGGATATGTCAGCACATCCTCTAAACCACTCCTGGGGTCCACATCCCATGCCCTCTGTGCCGTTGCCACAGTCTCCCCAGCTGTTACCTGTGAGAAACAGTTATGTTATTCTACTGTACCTGTTTACATGGATAATTTTATTATTTTTTGCATAATTGTATCATGTTGCATTTATCTACAGATGTACAGTTTACTATATGTGAATTTGTAATTTAAATGTTTCTTAGTAATTTTGTATGTGTGTCTTATGAACTACTGTGCAGTTCTGTATATGTTATTGTTCAGGTATCCTTCGTTATCTGAATGTTCCGTACAGCTGTATCTGAAAATTCTATTCTTACACCTCTTTCACTATCCGAAAGAGATCCTTCCTTACCTACAAAAATGATCTGATCGAAAATTCTAATTACACACGCCTAGGCAGCCATCTTGAAGTGTTGAACAGAAACATATTCGTTGCTCATTGAGCATAACAAAAAAAACCTCCCCACTTTCAGTGTCTTACGCTCGCCTGCCATTCGCAGTGAGTTTGGAGTGTTCTCTCTTTATATGTGTGTATTCGTACCATCTGTACATGAATCTGTATGCAATAGCATCCAAGCAGTGTGCCGACTCCTTGGTTTCCCTCTCCGCTTAAAACTGTTACACTTGAGATCAAGCTGGAGGTAGTCAAGCATCATGAACTGGGTGAAGGCCCAGTCTGCTTCTACTGTGGATTCGATCTTCAAACATGCTGAGATCAAGCAAACAGCTGAGAACGTCACACGGGTAGGAGCAAGCTGGTTAACCTGGATTCTTAACTCTTCTATGGGCAATATGGAGCTGTGGCTAGAAGAGCAGACTGCACGTGGCTCCACCCTGCCCTTCTCCATCATCAAGGAAAAGGCTTTGTTTTTGTGGGAAGACTGCAGGAGGGACCCGGGATCTGACGAATCTTCAACTGTGAGCGAATTTAAGGCCAGCTCAGGGTGGTTTTAGCGGTTCAAGTGTCAGGATAATCTTCAAACTTTTGAATGCCAATGCTGAAGCTGCACAATCCTTCCCAGACCTCTTGAAGCAGAAGTTTAAGGGAGGTGGTTACACACCCAAGCAAATCATCAACATCGAGAAGCCTGGGCATTTTTGGAAGATGCCATCTTATACCTTCATTGCTCAGGAGAAAACTGTACCTGGTTTTAAAGCAACCAAGGACAGGCTCACCCTCCTGTTTGGTGGTAACAATGAAGGTTACCTTCATGCTCGTCTACCACTCAGAGAACCCCAGGACTTCCTTAAAATCACTTTCCCATCATTTGGCGTTCCAACCAGAAGGCATGGGTGACAATGGAACTGACCCAGAACTATGTCACCCAATACCTCTCCAATGTGTCCAAAGTTTTATTGTGCCAGTAACAGCTTTGCCAACAAATTCCTCCTGGTGATAGATAATACTCCTGCACATCCACCCAGCATGGACAAATGGACAGACAATATTGAGGTGATGTTTCTTCCATCTTACACCACCTTACTGTTACAACCCATGTATCAAGGTGTCATCTCCACGTTTAGGGCTTACTACCTCAGGTGAACGATGCGGGATTATGATCAACCAGACCAATAAGGAATTCCGGAAGCCATTTAACATCAAGAAGGCCATCGATCACATCAAAGAGTCTTGGAAGAAAGTGTCACAGAAAACTATGGGCGACTTGTGGCAAAAGATCTGGCCTGAGTGTGTGCACGAACTTTAAAGGTGGACTGAAAGGTGTGTCGAGGAGAGGGTAGGTGATGATGACAAACAACAAGATGAGCAGCAGCCTGAGAACCGGCTCATTCTCAATGTTCTGAGGATCTTACCCTCATTCAGAAGAGGCTCGAGTTAGTCCACGCGAAAGACCCTCGTGTGGAAAGGAAAGGATTGGTGCAGTTACTTCCAGTATGGAGGAAAACATACGCATCTATACTGAAATGCGTCATCAGCTGAAGAACAAGGCAAAACAGCTCACCATCTCATGCTTTCTTCAACCCTGTCACCGTCTTCAGACCCAGGACAACTGCATCTTCATCTTCCAGTCCCACTCCCTCCATCAGCGGAATTTCTCCTACCAAAGGAATTTCTTCAACTTCTTCCACCAACGGAATTTCTTTCACCCCTTTCACCTCTGGCATGTCTGTACCCATATTCAGCAGTGATGAGGTGGACAGCCTCACTCATCTCACCCCTCCTTACTCCCTACGGTGAGCCCTGACCACTAAGGTAAAGTAACAAGTGTATAGTATATTTTCTTGTAGGTAGTTACTAAATTACAGTTGTTAGGTTGTTTTGGTGTTCGTGAAACGATTTCATGTTTTGGGGTATAATATTGGGGTTTACCTTTAACTGGGGCACCTAACCCTAATTTCCCATATGTTGTTATTTGCTATCCAAACGGTTTTCAAGGGACCCAACCTTTTTAGATAATGAAGGAATCCGTATTTCTGTTTATCTGTACACGCATGTGAGTTATCCCTTACCAAAAGACTTAAAACTTCTATACAGTATTCAATTTACAGAAAAAAGTATGACAGATGAGTCATTGTGTGGAGGAACACGACTCACCGCATCTGTAGTGCCACTGAAGGACACACTGGGTGCATGATACACCTTTTGGCAGAATCACTGGGATGGTAAGGTTCACTGGGTCCTGTAAAAAATTTATTTAATTGATACAGTACAGTACAGATATATATATATATATATATATATATATATATATATATATATATATATATATATATATATATATATATATATATATATATATATATATATATATATATATATATATATATATATATATATATATATATATATATATATATATATATATATATATATATATATATATATATATATATATATATATATATATATACTATATATATATATATATATATATATATATATATATATATATATATATATATATATATATATATATATATATATATATATATATATATATATATATATATATATATATATATATATATATATATATATATATTCAAAAGTGAAAGGCAACTTTTACAGTAGTGCATAGAAAAATGTAAATAAAAATAATAGGTTTTCTTCCTCTGCCGATTATCAACTACGTTCCTTTTTTACTGATAATTTGAGTGCTTTATTTTAAGTAGAGATAAACTTGATATGAGAAATATTTTGCAGTTTCTGTTGATCTGCAGTTATGTTAAGTTATGTGAAAATCAAAATTATCTGGGGCACACCAATAAAGTAGTTGATCATCTGCACAAATAAATTATTGAATATAATATGAACAAAACTATTATGAAATATCAAAACAGAGCTATGATATAGCACTTATTATCTTTACCAATTAGGGAGTAAAGTGTAAATTGTGACACCGTTCAAACTTAAGACTTGACAATACTAAAGCATTTCCCCCATGAGACAACTATCCACTGCAACATGACAGCTATAAGAGAAGCATAAGAATTACAAACAAATGAAATATTAGTAATTTTTCCCAAGGAACATCAATACTCACTACAATACAGTACATGTATAGCAAAACACAGTGTGAACCAAAACCACAAAGTAATGAAACAATCTAAAGCTTTCCCAAGAAACACCACAACACACTTCAGCAGTACAGTAAGGACACTGACACTAGACAAACACTAAGAGAAGTATTAGATAGATTGAGACGTACGAAGATGTAATTTATTGGGTAATTGGTGCCAGAGCCATCAGCTAGCTCTAGGATGTGCTTGTCCAGACATTCCTGCTCAACAATATGAGTCGGATCATTGTTGACACACAGGTGGAACTCGAAGTGGCCCCAGTGACTAGTAGTCAGTTCTACCTCGATGGGTAATTTCTGTGGTAGATACCATGGCAAGAATGAGACCTCTGATGAATGCTGTATAAGTGAATAGTATAAAAATAGTTGAAGACTCGGAAGCAAGAGAAGAAATTAGTGGCGACGGATGCACTGATGAGGTGCTAATAATGCTGTGGAAGGTGTCTAGAATTATAAATTGGATGCTATTTAGATACAAGTACTGCACGGTATAATGTATCAGATCTTGCTTGCAAAAGTACACCACCTTATATTTTCTTTATTCAAAGCTACAATAACATTACAGTTTATCTGTTACTGACAATTCTCACTGAACACTAAGCCTTATTAAGCATTGCACTCAACTGCCTTCACTTAAATGAGTGGACCTATGATGCTTCAAGCTTGCAGCAGCAACCGTCGGAACAGGAGGCAAATGCTGCATCTACTTCACCAAATTAAGGAGCTAACTGAATCTGATACAGTACCTAGATTTTTTTTACTCTGCTATCTGTTACCTGCAACGAGGAATTAATTGTCCCTCTTGTACCTGGTTCATATTGTAGTTAGCAACAATGATTCCTTTGCCGTATTTTCCACCAGCCTCGTTGTCCCTGGGCTGGGGGTCGGCCCAGTTGTCGCCACACACCCCACACTTGCCGTCGTTCTGGTCCCACTGTGACTGTGAAAGGTGAGTAGTGGTAAATTACTGCACTGCACTACATACGCAAGCTAACAAATGAAGAGGGCAAAGTTGTCCCTCATTGCTTAACAGGTGATATAATGTTAGATATGAAACATGGATGCAGTAAATCCTTGTTATCGTCTGGTATGCCACCCTACTCAGAGTCGTTCATTTTAGGGATGATGAGATGATGAAAGAGCGTAAATAATGATGAAGAATTTTGGCTTCCTGCTCGTTTTTCCTCGCTAAAGTCAGATAGAATCACGTGTGGGAAAAATTATTTTGGCCTACATTGTGAAAGTTCTCTTCATATACAATTGAGGAGTCCTAGTACCCCGTCGGTGAGTTTGCTTACGCCAAAACCGCCACAGTTGAGCTCATCGTCCTCCCAGTTGATCGGGGTGTTGAAGCCCTTCCTCCAGGCGGACGATCGACCTACTGGTTCCATCAAACGCCCGTGGCCATCCCCTCCATTTGCTGCCAACAGCACCACCACACCAAACATCCACACGCAGCTACCTACGCCCATCGCGGTTGTTGACTGGTAACCTTACAGACAGTGCCAAGCGAAAATTTCGTTGTGATTCGGTGATAAGACGTGCCGTTATTTATACCCGTGGGCAGTAGTTGCTTCAAGGTCGCTGCACCAGCAAACAAAGAGTCATCTTCCCAACGTGAGTGTATGGTGAACACAATATTACTAACTTAACACACCGCGGGCAGCTTTCCTTCAGATATGTCACAGGACTGTGATATGAGTCATAGGTTACTAGTATTAAAAATTCTTTGCGAAAGACGCAGTAAGCCGAAGGTGTTAATAATAAGACCTAGTAAATTAATAAAGATGTAGTATAACCAGCTACTGAGATAAGGACATAATGTTATTCACATTGAGGACACAGCTGTTAGCTCACAGGCAATAAGTATGTCTAAGATTGCCCGTGGGAACAGAACTGAAATGTAAGAACAGCTGTACCGTCTATATGGGTTGGTGGGAGTTTTCTGTATGGCGCAGCTTTCTCTGGACAGTAACCACGCACTTTTATCTTATCGTCTGCTCAAGTGTTCATCATTGGTAGGTGCAGTTCTGCTGTTTTGTCTCACCAGTAACGGTCCTTCATAATTATGTTGCGATTTGATGACTGAAAAATCGACGAAGGTTAAATTTCTTGCAGTAACTAATATAATATAATTTTCTCCAAAAAGTTCTAATTTTAATACTATATCCCCATGTTAACTGAACCCAATCATTCATTTTGAGGTTAGCTTGAAATTCGTCTAATTTAAATGATGCCATAATCAAAATTGCCTAACAAAGAATTAATGAAATTCCAAATTGCAGACAGTGGAAAACTGGGAACATCATATAGCATAACTCTGATTTATGGTAGACTACTCCTTCTGACGTATGTCGCGGATACTCACAAAATGTTCTATACTACTGAGAGTATATACAAACACTTGTTGTCTTAAAAGTAGGTTCTATTCTCGTACGGGAGATATATATACAGTAGGACGCAGAATCTCGCGTTTCCACACCACGAGGACTCTGTCTTCACTCTCTCTATGTATTACTGCGCGCTAGGATGTACAGATGCCAGCATTCACAAGCTGAATACATAAAGTATAAATATGATAATTTATATACATAACATGGTGCACAATAAATGGAATATTACATAGAATTAATACAGGTTCTGTAATACTTTACTATACATAATTAATAAGAGTAATATAAGAGTAATATAATAATACACAGCTGAAGGTACTACTTTGTGTCCATATATATCATACACTCCTCACAAGAATGAACCTCTGACAAGTCACACCAGTCAAGAAATTTCGACATCCCTATGTCAGCTTAACTGAAAACCTTCTGATCAGGCCCCAAAGTTTGTTATGCACGAGAGGGTCAAATGGCACACAAAATTACAAAACAACAAATTCCCCCTTACACACAGCCCATAGGGTTGTACACTGCTTGAGGATAACAAGGCCAGCCAGTCCCCACCAACTCCCAGCCACCCGTCAGCACCCGTCAACCACCTGCCAGTAGGTGAGCAATGGCAGTCCCTGCCACCTGTCAGCAGGACTTCACCTTACAGATAACAAAAACCACCAAAAGGACGATCTAGGCGTCTCTGTGTGTATTGTACAAAAGAAATAGGTGGACCTTGCTATAAAGTGTAACTTGTGTGAAGAATGGGTGCATGAAAGATGCACAAACTTTGTAACAAAGGAGGAATATGACAGTCTGTCACTTAGTGGTCCAATTCCTGACTGCGTGTAAGATATGCCTAGATGCTCAACAGTCTGTACCACTTGTACCTTCAAACACACCAACAGACTTCACAGTGCTTCAAACGTATAGGCTTACGTAAATCTTCTGCATATTAACCCAAGGCGTGGCTGCCAAAGATGTCGGAAGTCAAAATTATAGCTACTAAAACTAGGGCTGTTATAATCTCCATCTTAGAATCGTAGTTAGATGACACAGTCACAAATGAAGAAATAAAAATAGAGGGTGTTGTTTGTGCCTATATAAGAAATGACTTGGCCTGCAACCTTAGATATGACTTACATGAAGACCATCTGGAGAGCTTATGACTAGAGAGAGATAATGTTACCCCAAACTAAACACATCTTCGTCGGCACTCTCTACCGCCCACCCAACGACAGTCAGTTTGTGGATCAATTTGCTAAGATTTTATCAAATATTAGAACTGACTGTGAAACAATAATACAGAGGACTTTAATATTTGTTTAAAGCAAGAATAAAACAGTAAGAACAGCATAAGAAATATTACCAAATCTCAGATATAACGGCTTTAAGCAGCTAATCAATTCATCAACCCGAATTACAAAGTCTTCAACCACCATATTAGATCATATAATATGCAGTAGCCAATACAAAATTAGTCAGATAGGGATCAATCCTGACGGCCTTAGTGATCACTTTATAAAGGCCAATAAAAAATTACAATAAAGAAGAATTCCAATATAAACTACAAAATATTGATCAATCATTTTGTCATGGTCATAATAACACGGCTAGTATGTTTAACACTCGATTATTCATATTATGCTCCACCGTCCACAAAACATGTGCGAAACTGAAAAGTTATCCCTATAGAGAGACGTGTTTTCTTTAGCAATAGGTGCCATTCATTTTCTCTTAAACGTCTTGAAATCTATCATACAAAGTAAATTTAAATTGAAGAGCTAACGTGTACGAGTAGCCATAAGTCAGATATTCCTACAGCGAGAACCATGCTACCACAGATAAGAAGTAGGGGGTATCTATGAGAAGAAAGGTAACTAAGAAATAAATAACAAATGGAATTAATAAGGTGAGAAATTGAAAGAAAGAAAGTTTGAAGAGAGAACCAATTAAGAAATAAAGAAAGAAGAGAAGAAGGTAGAAAGAAAGGAGAAAATTTAATATAATTACAACACCTTCCCTACAATTGTTTAAAAGTAGTGGGGTAGAGAATAAAAATAATTAAATTAGAAAAGAATTCCCTAAAATGTGAAAAATTGCATGGAAGTTAACGAGGTCTCTGAGAAGTACAAAACTATGTTTACAGGCGTTCTTGGTGATGTAGCACGGTTGAAGGATAGGAATAAGAGCTCGGACAGAACTCTGGGTGGCTAATGAGATATTGGAGTCATTCAGACACAGAGATCACCTCACTCGTAAGTTTAAAGAAAACAGACATGATGAGTCACACAAAGAATTTTTGTAGACTATAAAACAAAGCAGAGAGATGTAAATTGAGCTAAAAATGATTACTTAAACAATGAGATCGATGAAAATAAAAATACCCCCAAAACTCTGCTAGCCAGTGGCGGCTCGTGCATAGGGCTGCAGAGCTGAAGTCCCCCCAGACACTCACTGCCAGGCGTATGATTCCTTTAGAGAGACAGCTGAATAATACACTACCAACAAATATATCATTTTATATGTTATTTAATTATTTTCAATACGTTGCTAAGTGAATTTTCATTAAAATCAGACCAAAATTTAAGTTACTTTCATAGTTGCTGTCAATGCTGTACGATTCATGTCTGTTATTAATTGGCGCCGCCGCCGCCGCACTTGAAGCAGCTCAGTCTCGTGTTTACATTGCGTGTGGACGGTGTGGTTAAATAGTGCTTTCTTTAATTACCCTTTGACGATGGAAAATCGAGTGAAGTATTTGCAAAACATCAACTTTTCCCAGCTGACATTTAATGAAAAGACTGAAATCAAAGCAAGAGGAAGACCTACACCAGTTTTATCCATTCAACAGAACAGTACAAGCAGGAACAAAGAATATACACGCCAGTTTAACATCAGTGTTTATCAGAATGACAGACTGTCTGCTTTAGCAGTGATATCCATTGAAAATAAAATGATAAAAGAAATAAAGGATTTTAATGAAATAGTAATAAACAATTTTGCTACATCGAAGAGCAGACACGCCGACTTTATTTTCAATTAATACTGGTCCATCACCACCAACACTACTACCATGCCCTGGGAATTCGTGGACATCAACTACAACTCATACCTGAGGTAGGTCAAATTTGTGTATCCTACTGTTGTGTGAGGCTTGCAGTCCCTCCATTTTATTTTTCACGAGCCGCCACTGCTGCTAGCAACTAAAAACCCTAGGACACAGCAACAAACCCAAAGAACTATCCAACATATAGTGGGTACCAGACAGTTTGTATATGTTAAGTCTCCTTGTGTCATGATGGACAGGTTATCAGGAGTATAACTGTCCTAGGTCGAGAATTAAGATGTATGGTCTTAATACTTCAGTACTGGTGTTTACTATGGATGTAGAGTGAATAAGCTGTCCTTACAGCTGATGTATGCTGGTGTATTTTTCCATGTTTATTAATCAAGCAATAGTACGATTTAAAGCTCAAGTAATTGATGGTGCTGGAAGTAATAACAAGACTATGTGCTGTTGACAAGTGCTTAGAGTGATCATTAATGATTGATTGTGGTAATTATGTCCGTGGCGACGCTTAGGTCATATGTTGCCGAATTAAATTAAAGGCTTAAAAGACTAAAATCAAACAATGCAAAGTGAAATACATAAGTAACAAATTTTATAGAACTTTCGTAAACATTATTTAAACATTAATAGTTAAAATTCAAAGCTTGTATAGAAGGCCGGCTTCCTGTAATAATAATAATAATAATAATAATTAACGGTTTATTGAAAAAGTTCTGCAGCCCGAAGGCTGAAAATATACATTGGACATAAATGACTTAATACATACAGTGGTGGTTTAACAAAAGCCTTCATTAGAGAAAGGTAAAGGAACATACAGTAAACATACAGATTAATGTAGGTGTTGAACAGCAAAAACGTAACTCCCTCCCAGATGGTGTTAGGAGGAACCTGACGTGGTGTAGTAATTCCCTCAGATGGTGTTATGAGGGGCCTGACGTGGTGTAGTAATTCCCTCACTGATGGTGTTATGAGGGACCTCACGTGGTGTAGTAATTCCCTCACAGATGGTGTTATGGGGCATCGCGTGGTGTAGTAATTCCCTCACAGATGGTGTTATGAGGAACCTCACGTGGTGTAGTAATTGCCTCACAGATGGTGTTATGAGGGGCCTCACGTGGTATAGTAATTCCCTCACAGATGGTGTTTTGAGGGGCCTCACGTGGTGTATGCAGTAACTCCCTCACAGATGGTGTTATGAAGGGCATCACGTGGTGTACGAATTCCCTCACAGATGGTGTTATGAGGGACCTGACGTGGTGTAGTAATTCCCTCACAGATGGTGTTATGAGGGGCCTGACGTGGTGTAGTAATTCCCTCACAGATGGTGTTATGAGGGACCTGACATGGTGAAATAATTCCCTCACAGATGGTGTTATGAGGGACCTGACGTGGTGTAGTAATTCCCTCACAGATGGTGTTATGAGGGCCCTGACGTGGTGTAGTAATTCCCTCACAGATGGTGTTATGAGGGACCTCACGTGGTGTAGTAATTCCCTCACAGATGGTGTTATGAGGGTCCTCACGTGGTGTAGTAATTCCCTCATAGATGGTGTTATGAGGAACCTGACGTGGTGTAGTAATTCCCTCACAGATGGTGTTATATGAGTGAGGTGTGGTCCCAGGCCTTCCTATCGTAGACGGATTAACACATCGCTGGTTGTTGTTGGGTCTTATGGGCAGTTATCACTGGGTACCTGGGACCTCACTGTGTGAAGGTTAACTTGGGTATGACTCAGCTGTTACTGATGAGTTGTTCTCACTGACTTAAGCACTGCTCACCACTGTTCAACTCTGTTCAACACTGGTTCCAGTCCTTTCCTAAGTGAAATATTAACTTTTGGCGAGAACTTGTTAATATTCCGGTGGGGAGGAGGGTTCAGGGGAGGGAGTTGGTATGGGCCAACTTAACAGTTGTGTGTGTGTGTGTGTGTGTGTTAAATTTTGATGTACACTACTTAATGTGTGAGCTGTACTAGCTAGCACAGAGCTACACGTTAGAGATGCCAGAACCTTGTAGCGTTATAGTGTGGAGGGGCAGGGGAGGTGTTACAGCCAGACAATAATAATATAGTCATTATTAGTGTCGATTCTTATGTTTTAAACCACGTGGGAACTGATGTTGCCATCCCTGGATGTCTTCTATTCATACTTGTGCCATTTTAGAGAAAATTAGAAAATATGAGGCAAAATTTTACGCCATATTGGACAAATGGGGTATAGGGGAAGCAGTAGTAGAGGTAGTAACTTTGTTTATGCAGTCAGTCACATCCCATCAGGGTGGACTCTACCTACACTGGTCCTCACTACTCTCCCGACCCTCACCTATGGCTCCTAGAAGTCGTTTGTGCACAGCTACGGCCACACCCTGTACACCGTGTTGGCTCACTGGCTAAACTATGTGAGGGTAGCACACAGCCAAGTGGCTGGGTGTGAGGGAGTAAGTCTAACTCCAACCTTGTGGTGCAGAGTGAAAAGAAATTTAAACTGTTATTTGGACGGCCTTACAGGCGTAAATCATAGCAATAGACTAGGAAGAGTAAATGTCTACACTACCAGGGCACACTAGTGATATTCACTGCTGTTAAACTCAGCAAGGACTTCAGTGTCAGCTAACTTGAATTAAAAGTTAGTATCCCAAGTGTTGTTTAATCTACCCCTAAGAAGGTTAGATAGCCGCACCTGAATTGACAGGATGTGCCAGTGCGGAAGAGCCGAGCCAAGGATAAAGGGGGTTTTCGTTATCCGGACAGTGTACAGATCGCACGGGATTTAAATGGCACTGGCTGAACGATCGGGCTAGGTGTAGGGCACATGCATGAACATAGTTGTATCCCATACATTAAAGTGCATAATGGTGAGAGGTGGTACAAGGATAAACCCTCAGCCTTGAACCATTGGTCAAGTAGTCTATAAAAATGACAGAACAAACCATCCAAAGATAGCAAACTAACTGGGATAGATGCTGCCTTTGTCAAAGGACACCCTGGAGTAACTCATTCAGCCACTGAGTGTATTCAACAGAGAACAAAGTCAGGCTGGTTTCAGCAACAAAGCAAGAAATCTACTATTATTTCATGCTATCAACTCTATGTCAATTCTACTGAATCCTGCCAGGGTAGATGAAGGTGATGGAATAGAGGCCACACTGACAAGGAACACTGTAAAATATCATCAGAGCTGTAGGCTGTTGCTTAACAACACAAAGTTAAAAAGGGCCCAGAAGAGAGCATCTGCTGGAGTGGCTAAAAACACAGAAGAGATCAGTAACTAGCGACTAGGAACTTCTCAGCCCTCGCGACCACCCTGCTTCTTCTGTGAGCGTGAGACCCCAACGTCAGCTTTAACGCAAGCAATGACAATGAAATTGAGTAAACGACTTAACGAGTGTGCAAGGAATCTGAGCGAAGGAAGGCTCCTAGCAAAGCTGGGGATGCTGTCGCACTGGAATTCAAGTATCATCCCGCCTGCTTAGTTGGTTTATACAACAGAGAGCGGGCCTACCTCATTGCCCTGAATTAAGAGCAGAAAACAGAGTCGACTAGCAAGGACATCTGCCCAATTGCCTTTTCCGAACTCGTCATCTCCATTAATGATACGAAGGCTACAAGTGGTGGGACGAATCCAGTTGTATTCAGGCTTGCAGATTTAGCATATCTTTATAAGCAACGACTTCAGCAACTTGGTGTAGAATCACCAGACGTGAATTCAACGAGGTTGAAAGAGCAGCTGCTCTCCCGCATACCAGAGTTAAAAGTGCATAAGAAGGGACGGGATGTTCTGATTGTATTCAAAACGGATGTAAGTTCCGTTCTGTCAGAGGCTAGCAAATACAATGAAGCCATACACTTAACTAAGTCTACTGACTTCATTTGAAAAGAAATGCTTAATCACAAGTTAAAATTTGACCATGAATACCATGAAAAGTGTCAGGAATCCATTCCGCCAACACTTCTTCAGTTTGTCTGTAATATTGAACATGGTGCGGACGTCAAGTCCCATTAGAATCATGGCGTATTCCAATCGGATGTTGCAATAGCACAGTTACTGCAGTATAACTGCTTCACAACGTATAAAAAAGGAGCAGCAACGCACAGGCACTCTAAAGATCGTGAGACTCCATTTGCATTATATATCCGTTTGGTAATTTATTAAAAAACCAGGAAGAGACAACTCATTGATATCCTTTATGGGAATGGGATTAGCATATTTTATTACGGGGTATTGGAAATAACTGCACAGCTAGTAGTGCAGCAGCTAACAGGAAGAATCGTTCAAAAGGTATGGGACTGGTACCCAGAACATCCAGAAATTTATCTACTGGTGATCTGCTCTCCTACTGCACCTATCTTTGGTCAGCCTCTCTTAGGAATTATGGGAAAATCGAAGCATTTGACAGGGTATGGCACAAGTCTTTGCTTTCTGAAATTCCTTCTAATGGTTTCTCTCCTCTACTTCTATGTGGATGTCGGGCACAATAGAATAACCCGTTGTAGTAGCTTTTTCTTTCCTCACAGCCAAATTGTGAAATACTTTGTCTTCTTCTGTCTCGCTTCATAAAGCTAAAGCTAGTCTTCCGGCTTCTTCGTGGTGTTGATTAACATTTTCTTTTTTCCTCTAAATATTTTTTTTTCGCCCATCAGGACCACCTGTGCCCAGGTGGGCTATCCCCCCCCCCCCAAAAAAAAAATCTATTCAGAAAGGAGAAAATAAAGCAAAGCGAGTGAGAAAACATTTAATATTTAATTAAAACAAATGCAGAGTGTGAGATACAAGATACAAGCGTGTAGTGTCGCTAACAGTGTTTTTTTTTTCATCTGCTCCAAAGAAATAGTTTCTAGTCTAACATAAACACCACCACATAACAACGGACTAGGCTCATCAAAAAACAGTGTTTCAAAGTCTTAAGTGACCAGTTGACCTCGATTAAAACTACAAGTAATAGTCTTAATGACAAGAATGATAATAATGACCTTATTCTTTATTATTATTATTCTCTAGAACCTGAGAAGTCCGAACCTCCGAGCCAAAATGACATGAGGAGGCTCTTGGTGACCTCCGTCCATCTGGTCCTTTGGTCGGCTGCGTTTGTTTCATTCCGCCATAAGTCAGGGAAAGTCTAATTGTTCACTGGCTTTGACTGGTTATGTGATCAGTCGTATGATAAGCTTTCTTCTTTTTTTTTGGGGGGGGGGGGGATCACTGATTCGAGACGTAGGCCAAAGCAGTGAAACAGTGAATCGGTCAACACAAGGAGGAGAGGACTTCTCGGAGCTGGTGCTTCATACAAGATCCACAGTCTTATTATACTTATAAGGAAAATCAGAGAAAACTGTATTTGAGGCTCTTGTACGAGGCAAAGAAAAAAACAGTAATGATAAAAATTGGAGGATTGAACACGATAAGAGAGATTGTGTCCCACCGTGTTAACGCTTGTCCCCTCGTGTAGTCGGGGGCACACAACCTCTGCCTTAAATAATATATAATCAGGGCAATGATAAATATAATTTATCTTTGGACCTGTTAATTAAAATCTAGTTTATATCTGGCAACAGTGAAGACCGCACTGTACTTCTCAAAAACTCATTCATTACCAAAAAAAAAATGAATGCTAAAATAAACGCACTTGTTGGGCCTTATTGTCATATCTCCATTGAGGTCCCCGACACACGCCCTGCGGCACCTCTCGCAGTGTCGGAGGGCGGTGATGCATATCTCGGAGGGGTTTAGCTCGCTTGTGGCATCTACTAGGAGCTTCTGCCTACACTAACTGGCACTAAGCAAGTTTCCTCTAGGTTTTTATCTGATAAAATAAATAAATAAATATATATATATATATATATATTTATATATATATTTTTATATATATATATATATATATATATATATATATATATATATATATATATATATATATATATATATATATATATATATATATATATATATATATATATATATATATATATATATATATACATATAAATGGTTGTGAGGAACTGTCGTCACAGTGTTGTTACGAAACGAAGACCAGAAATATTGTTCCAGTAATTCGCTTCATTTATACAGTTAGGTTCCTGTATCACTAAGATCGACACCCATAACTCAAGAGCTATTGGGTTGATCGTACTTATGATTATTTACCACCGTTTGATAAAAATATTTTGACGTCTGATTGTCTGTTTGTCACGAATTACAGTTGAGTGTGTTGATAAGATGTACCAGCTACTATGCTTAAACTATACATCAGCATTGTGTGAATATATCCTCAGAGGCGAGAACTTCGTATTTTGACTTAACAATTTCCATCTGAATATTTGTGAAATCACTGAATATTAAGATAATCGCACTTCGCGTCTCCCAACTTCTTACAACCCCGTGCCATGTTTGCTCTGGACCAGATTCTAAGACGATTCACCAACGTATAAATAACTAAAAGACACTCTTTGCTATTTTATCTATATAAGTAGAATGTGTTTTAATCCAGCTTAATGATATAATGAAGAAGATAGTGGTGGTGGCAACTAGGGAAGCACTAAACATGGCAGCAAGCTGAAGGGCCCCCGTGGCGGCGCGGGCCGCAGCTCAGCAGTGATCCAGCACTGGGACCCGACGTCGACAACACGGGGGCCTTTCTCACGGCGTCGTTCGTTCGTTCGACATCATCTTATCCCTCTTACTGTGGGTCAGGAAGCGCTCTTCACGAGGGATACAACGTGATACTCACTTAACAATTACAACGACTCGGAAAGAAAATGAGAATTCGATTCGGAAATAAGGAGGATCCATCCTCAGAGGCAGGGATTGGTGGTATGTGTCTGTTGTCTGTTGTGGGAAGAGCTTCACTGATTCTGGGTCTTAACTTGAATTCCTCTCACATTCTCTCAAGGAACTCAGTGCATTTTTTTTTTAATTGTTATATTCTAATCTATGTACAGCCATTTGGGTGATCTACTAATTTAAAACTGGCCCCAATGAGCTGCAAGTTTGATGATCAACAAATTGGCTTTTTGTGCCTTTGATCTCCAAGCTCTTTTGGGGGAAGCGTACACTCAATATTGCTTCTAAAGCTGTCATTGAAATAAGGATTGCAGCGTATTTATTTTTTAAAGGATAGGATTGTTTATCGAGCACTAAGTGTACAGAGTAACTAATGCAATAGGAGGCACAAAAACTGCGCTATCCACACCAATTAAAACAAATTTAAAACATCAAGATTCACTAGCGAGATAAGAAAAACCAATCATTTGAGCAAAAGGCGTTAAACGTGTCCAAGCGTAGGCTGTGTGAAGCGGTGCGTGGGCTGAGGGGGGTGTTGCTGGTGTAGCCTCCCGCAGGTTGGTCGTCGCCGTCTGTCTTCAACCTAGGATCTCGCGTCGCACTTTGTTTACATGTCGGCCACGCCTTCCTCCTCTTCATCTTCTTCTTCCTCCTCCTCCTCCTCCTCCTCTTCCTCTTCTTCCTCTTCCTCCTCTTCTTCTTCATCAGGACCTGGAGGTAAAAGTGGGGCTTCACCTGTTGGAACGACGCCCTCTTCCTGTTGGGGCTGGAGCATCATAGTCTCCCCAGAGTCAAACAGCGCTTCATGCTGAGGCTGAGACTCATACTGGGATGAAGGCTGGAGGCCAGGCTGATACTCCAGCATGGGTTGTGGGTTAGAGGAGAACTGGGACTGTAACATGTACTCAGACTCAGACATAGCGGAGGAAAATTCGGAGGACATATGCACCTGTTGCTTGACAACTGATTTAGAGGACTGCTGAGAGGACATTACATGCTCTGTGGACATGGTGGATTGTTGAGTGGAAACGGCAGACTGTTGAAGGGACATGGCAGATTGTTGAAGTGACATGGCAGACTGCTGGGAGGCCAAGGCAGCATGATGAGCTGTGGTGTCAGCAAGCATTTCAGGGGGAATGTTAGCCTGAAGGTCAGTCATATCAGCAAGCAACTCTGGAGGAATGTTAGGTTGGGTGTTAGCGAGGGTGAGGTCATCAGGGAGGAGGTCAGGCACACGCTGGGTAGTCGGAGGTGCTGCACAGGAGATGGTGAAGGTAGAGGAAGAAAACAAAATAAACAATAATTAATAAACAAAAGAAGAAATAATAATCTGAACCTTCCAGACCCACAGGGAGAGTACTGCCTACCTCATCACCTCCAATTAGTAGGAGCTCGTCAGGTGAACTAAACGAAGGGGAGGATTATTAATGACAGTATTTCCCTGTCCATAGAAACAGACTTAGTATTCAATGTGTATAGATAAATAAGGTAGTTCTTTAAGGTGAGGTTTTTGACCATATAAGTGTAGTGAATTGAGTAACTGTAACGACTAACCATTATTTGGTGCTACACATAATACTGATACGAATGGCAGTACCGTAGTTAACTAATCACGATGAATCTGTTGGTCTATATATATGTATATATATATATATATATATATATATATATATATATATATATATATATATATATATATATATATATATATATATATATATACAGTATTTCATGTAGATCCACAATGAAAACGTGGATAAGATAAATCTTGGTTAAAATACGAACTTAGCTTTCGTCTTTATTCAAGACATCTTCAGAGGCAACTGAAGAGGCAACAGTTGCCTCTGAAGATGTCTTGAATAAAGACGAAAGCTAAGGTGCTCCGTTGTTTCCCTTTTCACGTGTGATTTTATCAAGATATATATATATATATATATATATATATATATATATATATATATATATATATATATATATATATATATATATATATATATATTTATTTATTTATAGACCAATGTGTGGAACTATAAAAGATTGTTAAGCTGTTCTAAGGATCAATAATACATAGAATAGGGTTTAGTAAATTTTACTTTTGATTTTAACTCATCCCTGTGGGTCACCGCAAGATGTTACAAAACGAAAAACAACAACAAATAAATAAATTAAAAAAACTTAGGAATCAACTCATGAATTTAAGGAGAAATAAAACATTAAAACTGAAAGCTCTTGAAATGATGACATTTGCAAATAAAAACACGAATGATCAGTATGATTATTATTGCAACAAAACCTTAAAAAAAAAAAAAAAAAAATATATATATATATATATATATATATATATATATATATATATATATATATATATATATATATATATATATATATATATATATATATATATATATATATATGTAATTCGAATAATAGCGTCGAACAAATAGTTAAATGCAAAACAAAAGTAGAATTATAACTCAAGGAGTGAATATGTAAACAAGAGGGACAATGAGCAGTAAAATGAGAGATTCAAACAGGGGGTAACAACAGACAGAGGTAAACAACAGACAGGTGTAAACAACAAACAGGGGTTAACAATAGACAAGGGTAAACAAAAAACAGGGACAAACAACAGAAAGGGGTAAAAGACAGACAGGGGTAAACAATAAACAGGGGTAAACATCAGACAGGGATAAACAGCAAACAGGGGTAAGCAATAAACATGGGTAAACAACAGACTGGGGTAAACAATAAGCAGGGGTAAACAAGAGGCAGTAGTGTGTGAAGTTTTTACAAATAATCGGATTAATAGCATCATGCAAAGGGGGAAGACTACAAAGATGATGACAAGTGAAAGATAGACGGTGAAAGGGAGATAGAGAGAAGTAGAGGGAAAGGGAGAATGTAGAGATGGGGTAAGAGAGAAAGAGAAGAGCAAGGAAGATGAAGGCAGATACAAGAAATGCGGGATGAGAGAGAGAGAGAGAGAGGGGGGAAATTCATAGGGAAAATCCAGGCCATTAGGAGGATACGCTGGCTCTGTTTACAAGGTGCTTCATGACGTCACTACACGACAAACTCAATAAATGTCCTTCTGGTAAACAAAGTCGTTGATTGAAGAATACACGCAAGTGATATTGGTGCGCTTTTGTTTTTAATTATCAAATATGCGTTATTAGTGAAGGAAATTTTGGCGCGCTTTCTAAATATTATCTAATAAGTGTTACAAGGGAAATTTTGGCGTGCTTGCTCAAATTTATCAAATGAGTGTAATTGGTAAATGTTTATAACGTTAGATTACAAACACAAACCTATAATTTCACCAACATCTGTATATTTATTTGACTTCGATATGTTTATTGTTGATGGAAATTCATTCAAACACTTTTTTTTTTAGAATATCTAGAATCTCGGACACTTTATGTTTGTTGTGTTGTGTCGTACGGTCACCACACACAGTAAAATAGCAACACACTGATGCTAGCACACTTCTATGGTGTTGCAGGAGCACTGTGAATGTTCTGCAAGATTTAATTGCAAACTGAAGGCGACAATTTAATGCTTTTGATATTTTACCCACTAAAACTGCATTGTTATAAAATATGCCTTTAAATCATATTTTCACACTTAATTATTCTAATAAAAAATCATTTTAGAAACTGTACTTGGAGTGTATTAAGTTGTAAAAAATATATTCCACTTGACTTTTGAATGTAATTACTGGCTTATCATGCACGAGAAAAGTTTACATTCTATTCTACATATCCACTGGAATCTTGCCTCTGAAGAAGTTACAAATCTAGCAACATTCACAGTGGTGGGAGGAGGTCAGAATAAACACTAGGATGTGGTCGTTACCTTAATCCTATACTACACCCTCGTGCATGTTGAAGTTCCACCAGGATTTGGGATTACTTAGGATTTACTTCAAAAAAAATAGAAGAAAAAATTAAACCCTAAAAGAATGGTTAATTAGTCTAGGAAACTATATAATAGTAAATAAAAAATCCTAAATCCTAAAAGACTGGTTAAATACTGTAGACTCTATAAATCTATGGTAACTTAACTGTGGAAAAAAATATTTAAAAAATTAGTTAATAGAAAATATTCATATGTATTTGGGTTTCTAAAAATCTATTAATTCATAGCAAACAGTTATTTTATGAGACGTTTTTTATCTACGGCTGAGGCTTCGGTCACACACACACTCACACACGCACTCATACACACACTCAAGTTATGCCCTAATGTGCTGGAGCTACGTCGAAGGAATGGTAATAGTTGGGTAGGGAAAATGTGTGTGTGTGTGTGTGTATGGACAGTTAGCCACACCGGCCTACCTACCTTGCGATACTCCGGAGATGACCTGAACGGGTCGGCCATCAGGACCAACTCGAGTGCCGGTGACGACAGTTGTGACTTCACCCTGCCGGGATACAGACAGAGCGTCAGCCGTCACGTCATAGAGGGGTGTTTTAATAAGGGTCGTCACACACACACATACAGTATGTATATTAAAGAAGTACATCAGGCAAAGTAGCGCATATGTGCCGTCATTGTACCATAGTAGTGAGGTACTTTATGGCGTCACATTTCACGTAACATGTGGTGTTATTCCTTCACACACTTGGGGATAGAATAGGGTGTTGTGGCGTCACACTTCACGTAACAAGATGTATAATTAGCTGTTCCAGACATTGCATACCATGGGGTGTTGCGTCACATAACAACATGAGGTTGCAGTGCGTCACATATCACGTAACATAAATAATTGTGTCACACTAGACATTGCAACACCCTGACACGTTACAATCCACGTTTTGGCAACCCTGACTTAAAAGAACATTACAGTATTCCAGTATTTCGTACATAAATCCGGTTTACACAATGTAGATAATGATAATACACAATAGCATGCAAGGACAGTAAAATAACAAATCAAATGCATGAAATGGGAATAAGATATAATTTTTATTTTTAATGGGATTTTTATGTTCTTGGAAATGTTTTATTTATTATCAAGGCAGATAAACTTGAGATGAATTTATTTATTTCTTAAGGAGGTAGAGGGGAGGGGGTGTACGCAGCCGGGGGGTTGTCTGTGTCAGGGGGTGCGGGAGTCGGTCATGTCAAAAGTGGTAAGTAATCATGTCACTAGATTTGTAAACATATATCATAACTTTAGCAAATTACACATGTCAGTGCTTGTCACCGTTGATTTACAGTCATGTCAACTCATGACACTACTGATAAACACTTCTTATTTCAGTTCATGTCATCCCAGCTGGCATACGCTCATGCTGTTTCATATCACGGGTATAGAATCATGCCATCACTTGTAACCTAAGCACATATGCCAACTCATGTCAACATTGGATCCCTCATTTTTCCAGCGGTTGACCACTCATGTCACCTCACATCACCACTGGGACGACACTCAAGTCAACACAGAAATAAAACTTATGTCAACACTAGGAAACACTCATGTCAACATTGAGATAGTACACGTCATCACTAATATAGCATTCATGTCAACACTGAGATAGTACACATTTCAACACTGATATAGTACTCATGTCAACACTGAGATAGCTCTCATGTCAACACTGATATAGCACTCATGTCAACACTGAGATAGTACACATTTCAACACTGATATAGTACTCATGTCAGCACTGAGATAGCTCTCGTGTCAACACTGAGATAGCTCTCGTGTCAACACTGAGATAGCTCTCGTGTCAGCACTGAGATAGCTTTCATGTCAACACTGAGATAGCTCTCGTGTCAACACTGAGATAGCTCTCGTGTCAACACTGAGATAGCTCTCGTGTCAACACTGAGATAGCTCTCGTGTCAACACTGAGATAGCTCTCGTGTCAACACTGAGATAGCTCTCGTGTCAACACTGAGATAGCTCTCATGTCAACACTGAGATAGCTCTCATGTCAACACTGAGATAGCTCTCGTGTCAACACTGGAATAACACTCATGTCAATACACGGGGACAACACTCATGTCACTATTCCATGTCGCGTCAAGTGAATAGTGTCACATTGTAGCTGTCAAAATCCAAGTTGACGGGGGAATAATAGTCACCATCGGTTACACACAAGTAACGCCATCTCGTTTAAATTTTACAATTTACTTATAAAAGTCGATTATTTATATCTGCGCGTCATAAAGTATTTATTTTATTATTTTCATACTAGAGGAATAGAAATAATTATATGGATGTCACTTTAGAGAAATACTTATTGTCATGCGTCGGTTTTTTCTCCTATAGAGTATATATATATATATATATATATATATATATATATATATATATATATATATATTTATATATAGTATTATCGATGTCGGTTTTTATAATAGTAGAGATAGTAGAGTATTAAAAGTATATAGTTAATGGTTTAATGTGGGTTTTTCGAGGATTCTGTTTCGCGTTTAACTTATATACAAAAAGTAGTAATGTGAAAGCAATGTGAAATATGCCACCTTTATAATTATATTGTGAGCATCCTGCCAACCTTTAACAGAATACATTGTTGAAATAATAATAAGAAAAATGACAGTGATAATATTAGCAGTAATAGAAATAGTAGTACTAATATATACTTAACGTGACTACATATAAGTTATTCTTTCTTTATATAAATTATTTCACTTTTAAGCTTCTCGTCTTAATTTTTAAATGATGTTTAATTATAAACACCTTTCGTTGGTTTTAACGTAATTTTGTGTGGGATTTATGCCTGTTTTTATTTATTTAATGGACATTTTAATTATTAATTAGTGTAGTGAGACATTTCTTTTATTTAACCCAATACTCCCAGACAATTTATGTGCCTGATTTGGCGCTAAGTAGCTACTGTACCGCACTTATTGTTTGGCGTCTCGTAAGCCAGTTGTTGATGTTCTTGTGATACTTACTCTGCCTTCACCCAGCTGTGGTCCTCAAGACGTACTGTGTTATTACTGCCGGGAAGGTGTGGCTCAGGCGTCCCACAGTTACCCACGTGTGTCGCTCGTGTTTTGATTGTTTAACTTTAAGGAGACATATTAGGAGTTCACAGTTCTGTAAATGTGTGTACAGAAAACTGGTTACACACACACATTTACATATAATACATACATACATACATACATGCATACATACATTATACATACATACTTCATGTAGATCCACAATGGAAACGTGGACAGGATAAATCTCGATAAAACCACACAGGAAAAGGGAAACAATGGAGCACCTTAGCTTTCGTCTTTATTCAAGACATCTTTAGAGGCAACTGAATTTACATTGGCATTGGAGTCATGAGTTAAGAGGTGAGAGAAAATTATTAGGGATTGAAGAAAAGTGGTGAAACTTAAATACAGTAGGAGTTGACTGAATCTGGGCTCAACCAGATCGCTTCATCTTATCTATCGTTTTGTTTTTCTTTGTTTTGCTCCCTCGGGTCGCCAGACCTTTGTATTAGTATTGGTCTACTTATATGGTGCTGCTTATTATACTTCTTGGGAAAACAGTTTAGAAATGTATAAATCAACATGTGTCACAGAAAGACTTCTGGTTGAAGCAAGTTTGATTAGGGAAATGAATTCTATAACCCTTAGTGATGGTCAGTACAAAACTGATAATATGTCACATAAATTTATTTGTCGGTGGCCCAAGGTTAAAAATGTTTTGAAGGCATTTGAGGTAGATGTAGGATAGATGATTAGTGTGTCTCATATTTTTTACCTGAAAAGACAACACGAGTTATGTCGCCCATTTTTATAAGCTCTTCTTATGTTTGCGGTGGTGGAGGTGTGTGGATTAGTGGATCTCATGTTATTGATCTGACCTGATGTTTTGTTAGGTCACCCTGTGTTTTTATGCCTCTCTCAGTCCCTGTAAATTCAGTTGCCTCTGAAGATGTCTTGAATAAAGACGAGATCTAAGGTACTCCATTGTTTCCTTTTTCCTGTGTAGTTCTATCAAGATAAATACATACATACATACATACAGGTTAAAAACAGCATCGTGCGAACCCTGAACGCCTGATAAGACTCCTTAACGCATAGAGTGAACAGTTCGCTGTCCTCTTAGACTCGTATCGTCATGCTACACGGAAATATCCTCTTGCTGTTAGAAATATTCTTAAATCCTGTCCATTGTGAGGTTATCCATTAATGCGGCGCGACTGAGTTACTGAACCTTAGTTCGATCAGTCACGTTGGCTTAGATCTCTTGTAGGAAGATGGAGAACGATCATGTGTAACGTGACATAACCGCAGACACCTACAGGTTTTGTTTACCTGTGTCCCCCCACACCGGTTGCACCTACTCGCTGACTCTCCATCATTACGAGCCAGCTTCGCTACATACTGTACATGTGTCGGGAACAAAAAATATACTTAGCGATGGGCTAGTAAACAGAGGCCTTGTGTTATGAAGGAAATGAGATAATATGATATTAACCTTAATGTCTGGATTACTGGACAAAATTTTGTTACAACTGATTGAGCTTAAATTTGTAAGTTTCAGGAGAGCCTCGGGGGGGATGCAGCGTGTGGTGGGGAAACAAGTCTGACACGCCAAACTCCTGCAGTTGTCTGGTATAGCACTAGGACACGTTGACAAGTGCACCATGCAAAGCTAACGAGATATTGGTCCTGGCATTAGTCACACGACCTCCTTTGTACAAGACAAAACTCCCTTATGTATTTTGGCAAAAAGTCTTCCGAGAAGGACTTTCACTTCGATGGTTGGTCAGAAGTACTCTACGTCACGTTGAAACGTTAGAAAAAACATGATCTTGCAGTGACATCAATAACAAGTGAATCCACGAGTACAGTCTTCATTTGATCAGAAGCCTTTCTATCACAAATGATGGCGAGTCTTTGTGTTGTGAATGACTTGATCAGCGCCTAGTACTGAAATATGAGCGTCATCCTCTTAACGGTGCAGTGAGGGATGGTCTCGTGTCTCCGTCCAAGTGGTATTGGCATACCTTCTTAATTCTGCGAACCTTTCGCTTGACCACCTTGCGGCTGCTGCTGCTCTGCTCTACCTGCTGCACCTGGCTCACACTGCTCACTGACTGACTAGACGACTCTTGGCTAGAGACCACCTGCTGCACACTAGACGACTGCTGCACGCTAGACGACTGCTGCACGCTAGACAATTGCTGCTCGCTAGACAGCTGCTGCACGCTAGACGACTGGGAGGCCTGACCAACTTGAACGCTAGAGGACTCCTCCTTAGCGACCTGCTGGCTAGCAACCACCTGCTGAGCGGAGGACTCCCCGACACTCACCTGACTCACGCCATGCTGGGTGGTCATCTCAGAGCTGCTGATCTGCTGAGAGCTGTTCTGCACCGCCACTTGCGAGGAGCTCTGCACGATCACCTTCTGAGAAGAGCTGTGCATGGTCACCTGCTGACTACTGCCCTGAGCCTGTACTTGGCCAAGACCCCAGTGCTTCTGCGACTGCATAAGAAGCCAACAAGCAGTGTCAGTTAGTATCTCAAGGCATCAACGTGCGGTTGTGTTTGTTATGGTTGTGGAGACGGCCATTACTTGTCTCCGTGTTGTTGTAGTTGCCCCGGGACACAGGCCGCGAGCTCTTCCGCGGGCGTGTGTCAGTAAGCTTGTTGTTAAGGTGAAGCGGCTTTTGTGTCTTGCCCAACACTGTGTGTTGGGACGTGTCTCTCCGGGAGTGTACATGTTATTCTCTATACAAAATTGAGTTCTGTAACATGCAGGACTAGACAAAATGTGTTTGTGTGTGTGTGTGTGTGTGTGTGTGTGTGAAATTTTGATGTACACTACGTAATGTGTGAGCTGTACTAGCTAGCACAGAGCTACACGTTAGAGATGCCAGAACCTTGTAGCGTTATAGTGTGGAGGTGCAGTAGAGGTGTTACAGCCAGACAATAATAATATAGTCATTATCAGTATTACACACAGCCATTATAATTATGATTAATAAAGAAAATAAAAAGATGAAAAAAAGAGAAATTGATCTTTTAAGTTGAGAGACAAAGATAAGAGGCAAGAGTTATTACCTACAGTACAGTACAGTATGGCATAGTATGGTAGTAGCTAGAGCGTTATTAGCGTTAGTCTCACCGATTCAAAGCCGCGGGGTACTGGTACAGTAGTACCGATGGGCACTGGCTGAGGTGGGGAAATAGTTAGCTGTACCTGCTGGTTAGGGACGCCACTTGCCAGGGGGGTGGGCATTCCTCCCCCGCCTGTCCTCCAGGGGGCGCTCCTGCTGGGTGTTGGGGCGGGGCGCACGCTGCCTATTGGGGGTGCCCAGTCCTTGGTGGGGCGTGCTCCAAACCCAAACTGTCGGATGTCGGTGCTGGTGGTGGAGAGAGATATGGCAGTATAAGATGAGGGTACAGGAGAAAGATCACCTGAAGATTAGCCTGTGTGTGTGTGTGTGTATAATAATAATAAACGGTTTATTAATAGAGTTGCAGCCGGTGGCTGAAAATATACAAACTTACATTTGCTTTAGACATAATGATATGCGTTGAATACATTTACAGCTCTGTACTGTACATAAATCAGGAGTTGTTTATTATTTTAACAATCGATGGGATGGTGCTATTCTTATATCTATCGGTGCGGGCTCTTATGGGCTGAATTTTGTTGTAGTGGCGGACTGCTCGAGGTGGGCGGGGGACTGCCGGTGGCAGGAGGTGGCTATGACGAGGATGGTGCAGTAGTCCACTGCCAAACCTTGCTAGTGCTTGGTGGTGGAGGTCACTGACGGATGGCATTTCCACGGTGGAGAGAGCATTGATGTAGCCGGAGTAGTCTACGCCGAGCATGATGTGTGTGTGTGTGTGTGTGTGTGTGTGTGTGTGTCTGTGTGTGTGTGTGTGTGTGTGTGTGTGTGTGTCTGTGTCTGTGTGTGTGTGTGTGTGTGTGCCTGTGTATGCATGTGTGTTGTGTGTGTGTGTGTGTGTGTGTGTGTGTGTGTGTGTGTGCGTGTGCGTGTTTGTGTGTATGTGTGTGTGACCCCCACCCCCACCCCCCCCACCCCCAAAGAAATAGTCAAGCCAACATTGTACCCTTGATATGTATAATAATTTACATGAGTTGGTCAGAAAGAGAGAGAAAGGGAAAAAAGGAGGTATAGTATCAAACGAGACTCACGGCATGGGAGCCCCGTCCTCAGTGCCAATGGAGACGAGGGCAGGGACGTGGCCGTAGCCGTAGCCCTTAGGTCCGTGGCGCTTGGCGTAGCACAGCTTGCAATAGATCTCACCGTCGGGGGCGTCGCACGAGAGCATGGAGTCCAGGGGACGGTGGCACTCGCAGCAGTTGTAGCAGCTTTTGTGCCATTCCTGGGGAAAGGGGAGTAAGTCAAAGATGGGTGACGGGTAATGCATTCGGTCGTTTCAGTCCTATTTTAGCAAATATGACCTTTTATGGCACAACAGGAAGTTGATAAAGTCATTCCATCAGTTGTTTGGTCAACATTAGAGTAACATACACGACCTCGTCTGGTGCATCACCAAAATTCTTAAGATCATCCCATTAGTTGAGTCAATCCCATCAAGGTAAACACGACCTCTCGCCTGGCACAGTAGAGGCCAAGGAGTAAGTGTAATCAGCATAGTAAACATGACTTCATTTAATCACTTAGTTTTTTACTTGATGTTAGTAATACATCCGTATAGGTCAGGATAGGTACAGTGGTTGACGGTGGTGAGACTCAGGCGAGGACAGAGAGAGAGAGAAAGGTTAAACATGATATATTAATATTGAAATAGTGTATCTAACCATTAAAGTACAGGTACAAAGTGAACAATAACAACAGTATTGACGTGGCTGAAACAAGTAAGAGCTGAGACACTATTAGTGACATTTAATAAATACTAATGTCAGACTGTCAGAAGAGAGTAATTATCAGGCAGTTAGGACAGGGAGGGAGGGAGGGAGGAAAAGAATGAGAGAGGAATCGAGGGAAGAGGTAGGAATTAACAAGGTTGTCGAGGTGTCAGGAAAGGTGGGCCACCATGGGCAGGGGCATGTACCTTTCCTCGGCAGGGCATGGACTCGGCCTGAAAGACGGCTCCGGCGCAACGTGGACAGCGGGCCTGACCCTCCTTGGCTGCGATCTTGGTAACGTCGAGCACGGTGAAGGCGGCACTCGTCACCAGTTGGCCTTCACTACTCAAGTGAGTAAATGCGTCCTCCCCTCTGACGAACACACACACACGTCATTATATATAGTGCACACACACACACACACACACAAACACACACACACACGTGCACACACACATACAAAAGCATTATATCGCCTCTTAGTGACTTAACTATATAAAGGGATCGTTCAGAAATATCTCCTCTTGAATTTGTTTTATAAAATCATACCACATAACCTAACCTAACTTTACGTAATCATACCAAACCCAACCTAACCTAACCCAACCTAACCTAACCTAACAAATTTAACCTAAACTACCCAACCCAACATAACATAATCCAACTTAACCAAACCCAATTTAGACTAACCTAACAAATTCCAACCTAACCTAACGTATTCCAACCTATCCTAACCTAACCTAACCTAACCCAATCCCATAAACGTGATCTCCCCCTGATGTGTCATGCTCAGTCTAGATTATTTTACCCTTATTGTGGTGCTACTGTAGAGATGCAGTTAACATCCACAACATGAAGCTAAATCCATATGACGAACATGTGTGGCTGAATCCCCAGGTACACTGAAACTTCCATTTAACGGACTTTATGGGAGAGGGTAGTCCGTTATGGTCGAGGTCCGTTAGTCGTGAAACTTCCATCTAACGGACTTTTGAGGAAGATACTCCGTTAAATGTTAAACTTTCGTCTAACGGACTACTCTCTCCATGTAGTCCGTTATATAGAGATCCATTAGATGTGAAACCTCTCATCTAACGGACTATTATATCCTATTAGATTATTTTAAGGATTAACCATAATAACGTTCAACTCACGAAATGTTTTCTGGCACGAGGACACCGCCAGCACCAGCAGCGAAGCCGTAGCCCTTAGGTCCGTATTTCTTGGCGTAGCAGAGCTTACAGTAGATGTCACCGTCAGGGGCGTCACACAGCACCATGGAGTCGAGGGGCCGGTAACACTCGCGGCAGGTGTAACACCGCTTGTGCCATTTCTGTTACGGGGGAGAAACAGCGGTGTTAGTGGTGGTGTCAGCGAGAACCGATGGTGGCAGTGGTGATGTCAGGAAGACCCGGTGGTGTCAGTGGTGGTAGTGTCGGGGAGAACCAGTGGTGTCAGAGAGAGCCGGTGGTGTCAATGGTGATAGTATCGAGAGGAAGCCTTGGTGTCAGCGAGGGCCGGTGGTGTTAGTGGCGGTGACAAAACTAACCGATGGCATCGTGGAGAACGGTGATGTCAGTGGTGGTAGTGATGGGGTAATGTTAGTGATGGTGCCAGGGAGAACCAGTGATGTCAGGGAGAACCAGTGGTGTGACGGAGAACCAGTGGTGTCAGGGAAAACCAGTGGTGTCAGAGAGAAGCAGTGGTGTCAGGGAGAACTAGTGGTGTCAAGGAGAACCAGTGGTGTCAGGGAAAACCAGTGGTGTCAGAGAGAAGCAGTGGAGTCAGGGAGAACTAGTGGTGTCAAGGAGAAGCAGTGGTGTTAGGGAGATACGGTGGTGTCAGGAAAAACCAATGATGTCAGGGAAAACTTGTGGTGCTAGGGAGAACCAGTTGTGCCAGGAAGAAATAGTGGTGTCAGGGAAATCCACTGAAGTTATGGAGAACCACTGGTGTCAGTGAGAACTACTGTAGTGTTGTCAGGGAGAACCAATGGTGTCAGAGAGAATCAGTGGTTTTTGTGACGTATTAGACTACAGTATGGGGAGCTGGTGGTAGAGAGGTACCGTTCTTGCCTTGTAAGCAAGATGTCACGGGTTCGATTCCCGGACCGGCGGAAGTTGTTTGGACACTCTTCCTAGTCCCCTTCGTCCCTGTTCACCTAGCAGTAATGTAGGTACCTGCTGTAAGTCGAAAGTTACGAATTCGTATTCGGAGACAAGTTGTTGGAACTTCCAATAACTTGCTTAGACATAAACCATTGACTCTTCAGGCTTCTACGCCTTCGACTCTTCAGGCTTCTACGCCCTTAACTCATGAGACATAAAGCAAGCATGAACTTAGCATGCTTCCCTGTTGGGCGCTGTAAACGCTTCTGCGCTTCACTTTACACAAGGATGTAGGGGAGTGCCCAATAAATGAAAAAAAAAGACTACAGTACAAAAGGAACCTTAAATAATTTTATTATTAATTATTATTATTATTATTATCATTATTATTATTATTATTATTATTATTGTTGTTGTTGTTGTTGTTGTTGTTGCATCAAAATTAGTAAACTTTTAAATGCGTTGTCTGTTTTTGTTTATTTTCTTTAAAATTCTTGTCGTCTCAGTTAAAGGAGTGATGACTTGGTTATTTAATGCTTATTGTTTATTGTTTGCACGATAAGAAGGAAGAAGGAAAATTAGAAGAAAATCTATGGATATAAATAGCAAATTCATAGAAGAAAAGGACAAAACAGCAGAAAAATGAGGAGGAATAGAAGATGGAGAGGACAAAAAAGAATAAAAGTAGAACAAGACTATAAGAGGTAGCATAAAAAGAAAAACAAAAAGACGCAGACGACACAGACAATACATCGTGTATCCGACCTTCGTGAGCAACATGGCTGTAGTGCATAGCACATAATTATACTGTACACTGTATAAAGCTAACCAGATGGTCTATGATAACTGTGAGAATAACAGGATTGTGAAACAATATTTTGGGTAGAAAAAATATAAATAAAGATAATAGAATGGTAACTTAATGGTATAAAGAACAGCTAAACAAAGCTAAAGAAATTATGCGTGGCAGAAAGAAGCTCAATAAAGCGTGTGAGAGGGAGAGTGACACGCACCTTTCCGCGCGACAGTCTTTCTTCGGCAGAGAAGACCTTGCCGCCACAGCGAAGGCAGCCCTCCCCGGGGGCAGCGGGGATGGAGGTGGTGTCGATGGCTCCTGAGGCAGGGTTGATGCCAGTCATCTGTGAGGCTCCACCCCTGCAAGGTAGTGTGACAGGTAATGTATGTCGTCACGCGTCACGCACCAGTCTCACCAAGACTTATTACACGTTAGTGATAGTAATGCTTGTTGCCATACGGCACAGTAGTACTTGTCACATGTCACTAACACTGCCATTCTGAGATGGAGTCAACTTGGACACTTTCCCAGCAAACACACTCTTAACCCTTTAAGGATGATGGTTTCATCGACAGTACACATTCATTAGATAAAAATTATTCACATATATCATCAAAAATTTTAACTTACGGAATGTTCTCAGCCACGAGGACACCGCCGCTGCCGGCCGCGAAGCCGTAGCCCTTGGGTCCGTACTTCTTGGCGTAGCAGAGCTTACAGTAGACCTCGCCGTCAGGAGCGTCACAGCCCACCATGGAGTCGAGAGGACGGTGGCAGTGGCAGCAACTGTAGCAGCTCTTGTGCCAGCTGCGGCCCCTGGCGTGCCTCTCCTCAGCCATGAAGACCTTGCCGCCGCACCTGGGGCAACCCTTACCCTCCTCAGCCTTGATCTTGCTCACGTCCATCCGAACAACGTCAGCTTGCTTGGCCATGTTCTTGTCCTGGCCACCACTGTCCACAAGCACCCAGCGTTAGTATGCAAGTTGTGTTTCCCTCTTGTGTTGCTAAATCTAAAGTACTGTATTTTATCACTGCTTGTATTACGCGACAAATGTTTTTCCTTTTTGGGTCTTTGTTTGACAATCTTTTTAGAATAAAAAGACATTTTTAGCTCCGTTTTAGTACCGGTGTTATATTATCATACATACATGTACTAGGAACAATTTTATGATCGTTTTGAAACAGCTGAACACATTTTGACACAAGACCCAGCATCAAGGCCACCTCTTAATGGCTGGTGCTTCGTGTGACTCCATCACCTACTTGGGTAATATTAGATGCTTTTATGCTAACATAAATACTTTTTGATTAAAAATTTGAAAGGCAACTGTATGTTATGTGATTATATTTGGCTTGGAACATATTAATTATTAATATCTAACTTGAATCTTGAGGCTGTTAGATTAATAAACATTTCCCCTATGAATTTTTCCTTTTATATAACTTCCAACAATATTGTTGTGTGCCCAAAAAATCACCTGACGATTAGCTACCCCAGCTTATTTCACCTTAAGATTAACTACCCTAACGCTAACTTAACCTAAAATCCACGAGGCATTAAGGTATTTAATTATCAGGTGAAAAAGCTTGGGTAGCTAATCTTCAGGTGATACACAAAAAAGACGTACAGTACATCAGCAGCCTAGGGCAGCTGTGTGTGTGTTGGGGAAGTACTCACGAGATGTTCTCAGCGGTCAACACGCCACCACCACCAGCAGCGAAGCCGTAGCCCTTAGGTCCGTACTTCTTGGCGTAGCAAAGCTTGCAGTAAACTTCTCCGTCAGGAGAGTCGCAACCCGTCATGGAGTCTAGGGGGCGGTGGCAGTGAGAACAGTTGTAACAAGCCTTGTGGAATGCCTGGAGAAACAACCAACACCCAGAGTTATACAGTTGTTGTTGTAGTTGAGCAAAGTCTTCCCTTTAAGGACTTAAGGTATGGTTGTTATCTAAGACCGTTACCTGAGAAGTACAATAAGTCTTAAGCTCTTATAGTCACCTGAGAAGTACCATAAGTCTTAAGCTCTTATAGTCACCTGAGAAGTACCATAAGTCTTAAACTCTTATCGTCACCTGAGAAGTACCATAAGTCTTAAGCTCTTATCGTCACCTGAGAAGTACCATAAGTCTTAAGCTCTTATCGTCACCTGAGAAGTACCATAAGTCTTAAACTCTTATCGTCACCTGAGAAGTACCATAAGTCTTAAGCTCTTATTGTCACCTGAGAAGTACCATAAGTCTTAAGCTCTTATCGTCACCTGAGAAGTACCATAAGTCTTAAGCTCTTATCGTCACCTGAGAAGTACCATAAGTCTTAAGCTCTTATCGTCACCTGAGAAGTACCATAAGTCTTAAGCTCTTATCGTCACCTGAGAAGTACCATAAGTCTTAAGCTCTTATCGTCACCTGAGAAGTACCATAAGTCTTAAACTCTTATCGTCACCTGAGAAGTACCATAAGTCTTAAGCTCTTATTGTCACCTGAGAAGTACCATAAGTCTTAAGCTCTTATCGTCACCTGAGAAGTACCATAAGTCTTAAGCTCTTATCGTCACCTGAGAAGTACCATAAGTCTTAAGCTCTTATCGTCACCTGAGAAGTACCATAAGTCTTAAGCTCTTATCGTCACCTGAGAAGTACCATAAGTCTTAAGATCTTATCGTCACCTGAGAAGTACCATAAGTCTTAAGCTCTTATCGTCACCTGAGAAGTTGCTGAAGATGAGCCCAAGGTCACCCAAATTATATACCCGGTCTTTTCTATGCTATAATCCTCTGATAAAACGGAACATAACCACCAGTAAACTATGATTATCAGCTAAGGTCATCAGATATATATCCCCCAGTAAGCTATAATTATCAGTTGACCCCATCAATACGTATCATCGATTTATAATTCTTTCACCTTTCTCATACTGTACATTGAAGGTTTGCATAAGTACTCTATGTATGTATGTATGTGTGTATGTATGTATGTAATGTATGTATGTATGTATGTATGTATGTATGTATTTATTCATGTAATTATGCAGGTAGGTATTCGTGTATCCATGCCGTTGGTATTAATGTGTATTTGAAACAGAGAAATTGAAAGAGAGAGGATGGGGAGCTAGAGAGGGTGTGGAGAAGAAATGGGGGTAAAGAGAGAAAGAGAGAGAGAGAGAGAGAGAGAGAGAGAGAGAAAGAGAGAGAGAGAGAGAGAGAGTATATGTGTGCGTGTGAGGGAGAGAGATGCCATTACCCCCTCTCCCCGTAGATTGTGTTACATACATACGCATATATACTCACCAAAAAAATGAAAGACACACATACTAAAATACTAACCCTGTTACGGACGTTGATCTCCTCAGCCATAAAGACCTTGCCACCGCACCTAGGACAGCCCTCACCCTCCACCGCCTTGATCTTGCTCACGTCCAACACGGCAGAGCCAGGGTTCACGCCAGGCATCGCCTCCCCGCCTCTGTTGTCACGATTACGTGTTATAAAGTATAGTTAACTAATCAAATCTATGTAAAATGTAGTTATCTAATGAAATCTATGTAAAGTGTACTTATCTAAGTAAGTTTCGGTTAGGTGTGGTTATCTAAGTAAGTCTCTGTTAAGTGCAGTTATCTAAGTAAGTCTCTGTTAAGTGTAGTTATCTAAGTAAGACTGAGTCGTGTAATTTCAATACAATTTTTAAGCGTTCCTTATGCGAATTAAGTAAAATCACTCACCCAGGTGGCCATAGGTGTTGAAGTAACGAGAAGTGATTTATCATGAGAACCTTGTAAAATATATGTGGCCAGATAATGTCATTGTATAGCGTTGAGATGTATTAACACAAGTACCAAAGGCGTCGACAGTTGCCAGCCACACCAAAAATAATATTATCATCAGTAGAAATATTTATGAGCATGTATGATTAAAGTGAGTGACAACACCTGGCGTGTGTGTGTGTGTGTGTATGTGTGTGTTAACCTACTGGAGACAACAGAGACAGGAGACAAGATACTCACGGGATGTTCTCAGCAGTCAACACGCCACCACCTCCAGCAGCGAAGCCGTACCCCTTGGGACCGTACTTCTTGGCGTAGCAGAGCTTGCAGTAGACGTCCCCATCGGCGCCATCGCAGTGAATCATTGAATCCAGGGGCCGCTTGCATACCCGACACTTGAAGCACTTCCTGTGGAATGGCTGTAAGGGAGAGAGGGAGGAAGCTACCTCAGTCAATCTTATTAAGGTTGGTGGAGTTGTGTTGGGAGAAGGTCGAGAGGGAGTTTAGTAAGGTAGTGTGGAGGTGGAGGGGGAGTCTGGTAAGGTAGTGTGGAGGTGGAGGGGGAGTCTGGTAAGGTAGTGTGGAGGTGGAGGGGGAGTCTGGTAAGGTAGTATGGAGGTGGAGGGGGAGTTAAGTAAGGTAGTGTGGAGGTGGAAGGGAGTTTAGTAAGGTAGTGGAGGTGGAGGGGGGGAGTCTGGTAAGGTCGTGTGGAGGTGGAGGGAGTTAAGTAAGGTAGTGTAGTAAGGTAGTGTGGAGGTGGAGGGGGAGTCTGGTAAGGTAGTGTGGAGGTGGAGGGGAAGTCTGGTAAGGTAGTGTGGAGGTGGAGGGGGAGTCTGGTAAAGCTGTTTTCACTCTGTTTGTGTGTGTGTGTGTACAGAGAAGTTATAGTGGCGACCTGCAGCTTAATGGTCAGCGTGCTCGCCTCACAAACGAGTGCACCCAGGTTCGATTCCCAGGTAGGGTGAAACTATGGGCAAATTTCTTTACGCCATTTGCCTCTGTCTACCCAACAGTAATTGGGGACCTGGATTTTAATCGATTTGCGGATCGTGTTCCGAGGTAATGGTTAGCCAATGCAGTTGGCGAGTTGTCCGGTCTTCTTGGATTATTCTTTGACACTGGGTCGTGCAACTCGTTAACTTAGGACGCGGGTGTTGTATTTGCAACAGCTTCTACACCTTAAACAAATTCACGCCAAGGTTGCCCTAGGATCGGCCATCCCTGTACAGGAGGGGCAACCATTAAACAGTTTTGATTTTGATTTTGCCATTTACAGCGGCTAGTTTATTGTGCACCCTCTACTCATCCTGTGAGCGGTAACGCAAAAGGATTACTGAGTAGGGTTTGCAAGGGGTCAGAATAATTAACCCCCGTGGTCAGGATATTATGGCATTAAATGTTACACAGTATTTCATATAATTTCTTTGTTTAGTTCTATACATAGAGGGTAACTTATTCGCATTAAACAGTGAAGTGTGTGTATGTGTGTGTATGTGAGTAGATATAGATAATAGATGTTTTTTGCCTACTTAATTACAAAATAGGGAAAAGCAGAAGAAGTAAAATTACTCATCAGAAAAATGACCGCAATAGTTCATACGATATATATATATATATATATATATATATATATATATATATATATATATATATATATATATATATATATATATATATATATATATATATATATATATATATATATATATATATATATAGTGTATTGGAACTTAGGAGAGGTGTCACACCATAGTAAAAGTCACACCTTAGAAGAGAGTGTCACACCATAGCAGGAGTAAGTATCATATCATAGGAAACGAAAGTATCACATAATAGGAGGAGAAAGTGTCACACCATTGGAAAAGAAAGTGTCACACCATAATAGAAAGTGCCACACCAAAAGAGGAAAAAGTGTCACACCTACCTTGTTCTTGGCCATCATCATCTCGGCGCTGAAGACTCGACCACCACACCTTGGGCAGGGAGTCTCGCCCTCCAGCACCGGCAAGATGGCGTCAGGATTACCGTGAGGCCGTACCAAGGGGGCGCTGAGGGGGAGGGCGTCAAGTCAGTCTTAATAGTGAGGGCAGGCTGTGAGGTGTGTGTGTGTGTGTGTGTGTGAGGGATGGTGGTAGTGGCTCGTGATGGTAGTGGTGTGTGGTGATTGTGGCAGTGTGTGGTGGTGGTGTGTGATGATGGTAGCAGTGTGTGGTGGTGGTAGTGGTGTGTGTTGGTGGTGTGTGATGATGGTAGTAGTGTGTGGTGGTGGTGGTAGTGGTGTGTGTTGATGGTAGTAGTGTGTGGTGGTGGTGGTAGTGGTGTGTGTTGGTGTTATGTGGTGATGGTATTGGTGTTTGGTAGTGGTATTTGGTGATGGCGAATGATGATGATGTGTGGTGATGGTAATGGTGTGTGGCGATGGTGTATGGTGGTGGTAGTGGTGAGTGGTAGTGGCGGTGTATGGTGATGGTGGTGTATGGTGAAGGTAGTGGTGGTGTAAAGAGATGGTTGTGACATTAGTTATGTGTAGTGGTGTCTGATCTGTTTGCATCTATGTGTGTGTGTGTGTGTGTGTGTGTGTGTGTGTGTGTGTGTGTGTGTGTGTGTGTGTGAAGTAAATGATCACATCGTGTGGATTATTATTTCTGTTATTTGAAAGGATAAATTAACTACAAAAAATTGCCATTGGAATTTTTCATAATTATGCCAAAAATATATATATTGGAAAAATATAAACAACACATCGAAACACAAGCAATTAATTCACAGTAAAGGATAATTAGTTGGATGTATTGCAGGTTATCTACAGACACAGGTGTTGACTTAGCCAGCTTAGTAAATGTCTACTATACTCGACACTCATTACTATATATTCTATGCACATGCTAAGTCCAAAGCCTTAATGCAGTCTACCATCAAAAGGAAAATGGGATTCTGGCTATTCTAGCTTGTATCACCTGGAATGTCAAAGAAAACGGGGGTTAGGCTCACAGTTTACTGGGTATATACAGACCATGTGGATGGAGGTAATGAGTTTCTAGTCATGTTCTGTCATCCGTTGCATATAGTGTGTGGGTGTGGCTGCCAGGAATATGTTTATCTCGGTGGTTAGTGATAGATAAAGTAAACAGGGAATCAGGCCATAAAAAATACTTTGTCTTGCATTAGAAACATAATCTGGCAGAAACACGTCTAGGATATACTGGAACTTAAACAAAATAGTATTTAGGACAAAAAATAAAGTAATATCTTGATGTAAATTATGAATGTTATATAGTTGTTTATTAATTTGTTGGTTGATTTATTCATATATTTATGATTTTTTTAAATTAATTATTTATGTTTACAGGAGTGTTTGGTGTAGTGACTCACCATACAGAAGATATAGTTAACACGCCTCGCCTAGACCCTCCAAGGTTCATGGTTTATGTTGTTAGTTTGTTATCACCTTCTGTCTGTCGTATATAGTTTAGTGCGCCGAGTTTGTTTGGAAATTTTAGTGGCGTTCTGCGTTACCATGGCAACTGAAGGGTATGGCAGAACTAGCTTCTGTGAAGTATGTGAGGGATCTAGCTCAGCCTTTATCTACTGATTGTTTTATTTTATTATATATATGTATACATATATATATATATATATATATATATATATATATATGTATATATTTCATGTACATCCACAATGAAAACGTGGATAAGATAAATCTTGATAAAATCACACAGGGAAATGATGCTCCGTTGTTTATATATATATATATATATATATATATATATATATATATATATATATATATATATATATATACACACAAGTCAGGTATTGAGGTAGACATGAGGTAGACGTGTGCGGGCCGTCACACACACAAACACACTACTACCGTGGTGTACAAACAACATGTAATAATGGAGGTGGCCAATAAACCTACGAGTCAGGATCACACTGCAATGTCCCTCCACCATGGCCGAACCCGTAACCTTTGGGCCCAAACTTCTTGCCGTAGCAGACTGGGGGTAAGAGCAGAGTTACCAGTGTTAGCCGCACACATACACAAGCTGCTTGGCCCCTGTGCCTGGACAAAGGTCCCCAGATACTTGTGTGTGGAAGCGTCCTTGTAAGTGAAGTTGTAAGGTCGTATCTTTACTCTTTGACTTGACCTCACAGATACATGGTACCAGTTACGTGCACAGTTTCTGAGGACCCAGACACAGACACACTACCATTTTAGATAAAGCCAAACAAAAACCTGGGACACATTTAGGCAAAAATCGTCGTGTCAACTTCCTGTAATATGGAAAAAATTATAAGCAAAGCACATTAATTTCTGATTTTTTTTCGCTTCTACGTTGACAGCATTGTTTTAAGAAGCGTTAGGTTTTTGTTTTGTTTTTAATTTTACAGCACCAAATTAGCTTAGTACTTCTAAATCAGATATAACCTAGAAAACGGAATTATATTATATTAGAATTGTTTTTTATTGTTTTATATATATATATAGAACACGGAGGTAAATAGATTAACAGAAAAATGCTTTCAAAATTTTCTTTGAAAAATCTTCTTCCATGAGAAAAAAATTCAGGAAGAGTGTTAGGAGCAGCAGCGTGTAGAGCAGCGCTTGTTGTGGCTATTGTGTGAGCGAGTGTCCAGCGCTGCACCACCTCCCGCAACACCAAGGCCACACGTGCAGCTCCGTACCAACACCAGTACCAGTACCAACACTAATACTAGTACCAACTCTAATACTAGTACCAACACTAGTACCAGTACCAACACCAGTAACAGTGCCAACACCACTATCAGTACCAACACTAATACCAGTACCAACACTAGTACCAGTACCAACACCAGTACCAGTGCCAACACCAGTATCAGTTACAGCACCAGTATCAGTTCCAACACCTGGACGGCCGGACAGGTAAACTGCCCCAGACTCAGGGGAGCTGGCGGACAGGTAAACATGGTGGCATCCGACCCGCGACCTGTCACACTTACTTCTCTTCGGTGCCGCAGGTGAGAGTGCCAGCCCCGGACCCAAAGCCGTAACCTTTGGGCCCGAACTTCTTCCCATAACATACTGAGAGATACAAGAGGTGAGACATTGTGTTAGCACCTTTGCAATGAAGTTCGCGGAATACCTTTTAATAAAACCTCTTGGTTCCGTGGGGCCAAGAGGTGTACCTGTCAAATAATTTTTTTTACAACACTTGTTTGTTCAGTGGGGTCAACAAAAGTATGGACAATATAGGATAAAATATGTGTGTGTTGGCCGTCGTCTGCATCGCCTCCGTCGTTCTCTCCTGCTGGCCTGTGGATACTTAACCCAGAATAATTAGCTTACATGAGTACTCATCTTGATCATAAACGTACAGTCGCCTGCAATTATGCCTGGTACAGTGGCTGGCGTATTTTGTGAGATGTGGCACCTCTGTGTGTGTTTGTTTACATCCTATTAAAACTCCCGGAATGCTCCGAAGAAACCTCACAATAGTAGCCAAATTAAGGACGATAGAAAAACATTCCACAGCGTTGCCATATCTCACAAAACGAGCCAGCCATTGTACCTGATATAAGTGCAAGCAACTGTATCCCCTTCCCCCCACACACACATCTAAAGATGTTTCATTTACCTTTACTTTATAGTTGTTGTCAGATAAAAATATTGGGAGTCTGTAACCTGATTTGTAAATTTAAGGAATTGGGAAATTATTTAAAATTTTGCTAAATAATTAAATCAGTCATTTTTTTCTAATATAATGTTTTATCGTCAGTCAAACGGGTGACCATTTTCAATAAGATTTCCCTCATTGCGCTGTGAGCTCGTGTTTGGTTAATATCGAGGTGTTTGTTGTCATCGCACGATTCTGGCTTGACCGCTGATATAACTTCCCTGTACAGGGGTATTGCAATATCGTTCCATAGGGAGACAATAGGAAGTGAACCTGGTAGATTTCACTGATGAATCAGGCAAACCTTCATTGTTCCTCTGTAAACGTTACTTTCTCTGACTGCAAAAGTTGAGTTACCTTTTACAGGATCATAAAAATACTAGATGTGTACAAACGTGAATGAGTATATCATTGAGTGGTATTCTTTTTAAGTAATATACTGTATGATACAGAACAGTTTTTGACAGTAGGATATCGTGCAGCAGCTGCCACTTGCTGCCTGATGACACGCGGACCATCCAGGCAGCAGCAGCATCAGGACCAGCTGCCTGGCGTCACGTGGGCCAGCTGCCTAGTGACAGGTGGTAGGGGTGAGGTAGGATGTATGGAGGTTAAGTGTGGGCGGGCTGGGCACCACCACGGGTTATTATTACTGATGGGGCCATAGCCGCCCTCCCCTTCTCGCTGGCGCCGCCACCGTCAGGGACCCATGCTAAAATTGGTTAGTTCGTGAGAGCAGCGTAGGCGTATAAGAGAAGGAGAAGGGGGAGGAGGTGGGAAAGGATGGGCGTGCAGGAGACTAAGGTAGAGAGGGAAGCGTAGATATACAAGGTGGGATGTGGAAAACGAGGGCAAGATGGAGAAATGGGGGGTAGCGGCACAATCTAAACCACTTCTAAGATTTACTGGTCAAGATGAATGACTATAAGGATAAGTAGATTGTCACAGGGACCCGTTCCTCCTGTGTGTGTGTTGGGTCGGGGGGGGATGGATACATTGATCAAGCCGACTTGACGTTGCTGCCGCGCTAGATAAGGAGTTTCCTCACGACCCAAATATGGCGGAAACTAGTTGGTTGGTGTAAGTTTCTGGTGGTGGTTGAGAGGTTGCCCCGTTCACTCGCCACCGGTCGCCGCCAACAAATCAGCGAGGAGCATCGGAATAACTCTTAAAACCTTATACTTCACACCTGCCTAATTAGAACACGTACATACACTTATACACCAGTGACCTCCATTTACAACTCGTTCTCGATATTTTGGTCAAAGGTCACTTCAGCTGGGTAGATGAGAGGTAAACAGGTGGCGAGGAGATGTAGGGTCTATTATTAGAGAAGCGTGTTGGCAGGGGCGCGCTGGAGGACGGGTGCCGGGGGAGGGAGGCAACCGCTGGCACTCTGCGGCACTCACCACAGTGATTGCGGAATACGGAAGTCTCCTATCATGACGTGTACCTTTAGTGTCTAATATATTTCCTCACACACACACACACACACACACACACACACACACACACACACACGCACACACATGCACACACACACACACACACACACACACACACACACACACACACACACACACACACACATTCATAAAAGTTACAGTAACTAACCATAAAATATTATCATTATTTGATAGACAGTAACATCTGCCACAACCTCCTAGTAAGCACAGTGTGTCATAATTGCAAGGTGTGCCATGAGGTATAGATGATTCCCACGGTGTGTCGAGGAGAGATAATTCCCACGGTATGTCATGTGGTAGAGTTATTTCCCACATTGTGTCATAAGAAGAGAGATAATTCACACAGTGTGTCGTGTGGTTGAGATAATTTCCACGGTGGATCATGCGATAAAGAAATAATTCCACGGTGTCATAACATAAAGAGAAATTTCCCATAGTGTGTTATGAGGAGAGTGATAATACCCACGGTGTACTGAGACAGGCTACCTAATAACCACACTTCTGACCTCTATCTTAGATAGCCACATTTGTGGCCTTTGCCGCTGATAGCCGTATATGTGACCTATACCTAAGATAGCTACACCTGTGACCTCTGCCTCAGATAGCCACACCTGTGACCTCTGTCTCAAATAGATACACCTGTGACCTCTGCCTCAGATAGCCATACCTGTGACCTCTGTCTCAAATAGATACACCTGTGACCTCTGCCTCAGATAACCATACCTGTGACCTCTGTCTCAAATAGACATACCTGTGACCTCTGCCTCAGATAGCCATACCTGTGACCTCTGCCTTAGATCGACTCATTTGTGACATTTGAATCAATTACTGCATATATATATCAGTAATTCAGTAATTGGAGACCAAGATGTTAAATGATTTCGGATCGTGTTCCTGGGTAATTGTTAGCCAGTGGAGTTGGCGAGTTGTCCGAGCTTCTCGGAATTTCCCTTGATACTGGGTTATGCTACTCGTTAATATAGGGTGTGGTTGTGTTGGCAAAATGCCTAGATGGCCCTAGAGCCAGACATCCTTGAACACGAAGGACAACCATTTCTTCTTATGTATGTATGTGTATATGCATGTATGTGTATAGTATGTATGTATGTAAGTATGTGTGTGTGTATGGAATATTTCAACCATTTATAGAATAACCCCCTTCCTTTAACAATCTGATTAGGTACTTCACTATACTGTTAACAAAATTCAGTTTAGACATATTAACCTTATACTCGGTATGAGGGGGTATAAGTTTCACTCAGCCACAACACACACCCTCTTAACCTTACACTCGGTATGAGGGAGCATGAGAGTCAAGTTTCACCAACAATTATACAAAATAGTAATTCAGGAAAAAGAACAAAATCGTGATTTTCATCTTAAATACATATAAACACAGGTAGACGACCCTCATTACCTGTCTCACACGAAGGATGTTATTGCCCCGGGGTGGTCATTAGGCTATCAAATAACTCCTCCCACACTTTAATTGTCAACATATTTTGTGTTTAAACTACTTAGATTTTTTTTTAATCAGTTACCGTAAGTAGCTCCCATTCAGCTCCGAGAAGGAAATACCTACCTTGAAATGTTATACCCAAGGTTGAATTCCGCTGTAAATTTTACCTAACCCCTGATCGTAAGAATTCCCTTCAGGTATTTCTGGCTCGGTTAGTGACAGAGGGTAGCAAAAAATTTACACGAATCCCCCTTGAAAAGAAAACGTTAATATTCATTATCCGGTTTTTCTTTCTTCTTGACTGTTTGATGTTTCAGTATCAATAACGCCATCTAACCAAATATAAGAATAAATTTATAAATATTAGAATGAGGCGCAATTAATATGACAGATGACTAGTGAAAATAAAGTACATAATGATGTGTTCACTATAACTATAACTTAGATCTTCTAGTGTAGCGAAGTCTTCCAAATGCGCGCGCGCGCGTACGCGCATGTGTATATGTGTGTGTGTGTGTGTGTAGAACCGAACTTTTTGACTGTTTCTATTATACTCTTAACTGTTTCATCTTCTCATTTCTTTATAGTCTTTTCATCTACCATCAACTATTGACGTCTCATCATTATAATCAATCTACTCTCTACCTTATTCTCTCATCTTCGTATCGACTGTCTATTCAGGTACACCATTTTCTTATCGCTATATCGATTGTGTGTGTATATATATATATATATATATATATATATATATATATATATATATATATATATATATATATATATATATATATATATATATATATATATATATATATATATATATATATATGTATATATATATGTGTGTGTGTGTGTGTGTGTGTGTGTACCTAGAGAGTATCAAGTTGTAATGACAGATAGAAAGATGCCCCCTCCCCCCTAATAGGAGTAGGGAGCGTCATTGCCTTGTGGTCCACCTACCTTGGCACCATCTTGGCATGTGACGCACGCGGCAGACTGGCACTGTGTAAGTGTGTCTGTGAGGAGAAGGAGTCTTGTAGTAATGCGACACCACTTTTTGGACCACATCTTGTTATTCGATACGTCGGTCTCTCTCTCTCTCTCTCTCTCTCTCTCTCTCTCTCTCTCTTCAGTAAGATACAACACATATGGATCAAACTACACACCTATAGGTAACATCACACCTGAGGTAATTATATAATCTTTTTTCCAATGTAAATATCATCACAATAAGACATATACTAGATAATATGACTTGCAGTAGGAGGTAAATCACTTAGAGTTACATATATTTACACAATAAAGTTTACATTTATCACTGAACCTGAGGGAGGAAAGATTATTATTTCAAAAAGGTGTGTAATAGGATACCTGTATTCGGTTTTAGTTACGTACCTGTTCCCTATAGGTAAACCTGTACTCCTTTAAGAATACCTGTACTCTGTAGGTAAATGTGTACTTGTACGTAAACCCATACCTGTTCTTAAACCTGAACCTAAACCTATACCTGGACCTGTATTTAAACCTATACCTGTACCTAAACCTGTACTTTTACCTAAACCTGTTCTTATACCTAAACCTGTTCTTGTACTTAAACTTGTACTTGTACCTAAACCTGTACTCTTACCTAAACCTGAACCTGTACCTAAAATGTACCTGTACCTAAACCTATACCTGTACCTAAACCTGTTCTTGTATTTAAATCTATACCTGTACCTAAACTTGTACCTGTACCTAAACTTGTACCTGTACCTAAACTTGTACCTGTACCTAAACTTGTACCTGTACCCAAACCTGTACCTATACTTGTACTTAAATAAACCAACCACAATAATGATCTGTCACTTTACATCTATGAGAGTGTGTGTGGGGAGAGGGGGGGGGGGTGGTCTCGTATCGTGTACCTTCTACCGGTAACTGACCCTCTTGGCACTCACCGCCCCTCTAGTTCCCCCACACTCTCCCTCCCTCTCTCTAACTACACTGGTATATGTCACCCTTAACTCCTCCAGCCCCCCTCCCTCCTCCCCCTCCCTCATTACACTAGGTCAGAGATCAAGGGTCAGCGAGCTTACCTTTGCAGTAGACTTCCTTGTCGGGCCGTCGCAGTGAACCACGGAGTCGAGAGGCTTGCGACACGCCTTACAATTGAAGCAGGTCCTGTGATAGCTCTGTAGGGGCACACATACACCGTCAGTTACCAGCGATATGTGTGTGGGATGTGTGTGTGTCGGTGTGTGTGTGTGTGTGTGTATCGGTGTGAGTGGTGGAGGTGTGAGGTCGTGTGTGTGGGGGGTTGTTAGTGTCGGTGTGTGTGCGGGAGGTGTGTGGAAGAGGTGTGTATGTGGATGTGTGTGGAGAGACGGATTTTGTCAGTGTGTATAATGTTTGGGTTGGTGAATACATATGTGAGTGATTGTAGTTTATTTGTGTGTGTGTTGTGTGTGTGTGTGTGTGTGTAGTGTTGAGTTACTATTATTATTATTATTATTATTATTATTATTATTATTATTATCATCATCGTCATATCAAACAATGAATCTTGAACTATAAAGTACACCACTGTGTGAGTGTGTGTGTGTGTCTGTGAGTAGGAGTTTTGTAATAATGTGACACCACATTTTGGACCACTTCTTATTATTCACCCATCATGGAGATAAAGGATTGGCAATGCTAACTGTACCAGGTGGAAGTGTGGGTGACTGTACAGTACAATAAAACTCGTGACATCATAGCTTTTGCTCCTCAATAAGAGAAAATGTCGAGGAGGTATTCAGGGTAATGTTATATCACTGATTTATATACTGTTGATAATACTGATATTCCCCAGGCTATAAGATGGTCGTGGAGGATTCAAAGAGTTTTTCCTCGTGCCATCCCCCAGAGGTACTTTTAGGGGCGTTGTTCAATGATGTGTGCAAGAGGAGAATTCTTGGTACACACTATGGTGCTTGTCCACACTGTATGCTGTGCATGCTGGTGTATAGGGGTCGTTCTCGAGGTTTGTGTTTAACATGAGTTTACTGGAGGTCGACGACACACTCCCTGGCCCCAACGACCTTTATTATCAATATTGATGGCTTCTACAGGAACCAGTTTCTAAATAGGATCTAAATATTATCCAAAGCCAATATGATCCTTTGACTCTGAGGTTACCTGATGAACTTCTCTTGGATCAGTTTTGTATGTCCTTGAAATAATGTTTAATGTAAAAGTCCTGGTCATCAGAGACGGTTGTTATAGTGGGTGTACCTGTCTCCCTCCACTACCACACCTGCCTGGAGGTGTACCTGTCTCCCTCCACTACCACACCTGCCTGGGGCTGTACCTGTCTCCCTCCACTACCACACTTGCCTGGGGCTATACCTGTCTCCCTCCACTACCACACCTGCCTGGGGGTTTACCTGTCTCCCTCCACTACCACACCTGCCTCGGGGTGTACCTGTCTCCCTCCACTACCACACCTGCCTCGGGGTGTACCTGTCTCCCTCCACTACCACACCTGCCTGGGGGTGTACCTGTCTCCCTCCACTACCACACCTGCCTGGGGGTGTACCTGTCTCCCTCCACTACCACAACTGCCTAGGGGTGTACCTGTCTCCCTCCCCCACCACACATGCCTGGGGGAAGGAACATCCTGTACCCATCCACCCTTCCTTCGACCCGTCAAAAATAATTGAAACCAGACGCACACACACACGGACTCTTGCGTCAACATTTCTCAGTGACTATTGATGTACTATCATATCTAACTGGTTCAGGAAAGCTACCACATAAAGAGGACGACCATAACGAGATCAGCGTTACACTTCTACTCTTATTGTTACTAAAAGATAATGTTGATATGTGATTTATGTTTTTGGTTGTTGTGATTGTTATAGAAGACAATGTGGAGTGTGCCTCAACCTATGTGTGTTTACCTGTCCTCGTGTAGTGTGAGCTAAGGTTTTACTCTGGGTAAATTTTGGTTTACTGTGGAATTGTCGTCGGTATGTGTGTGTGTGTGTGTGTGTGTGTGTGTGTGTGTGTGTGTGTGTGTGTGTGTGTGAGTGTGTGTGTGTGTGTGTAGTGTTGTAGTCTCGGGTTGGCAGTGTGTTGGGATCCGCTGTGCATGTGTGTGTGTGTGTGTGTGTGTGCGTGCGTGTATACAAAGAATGTACTGTACATCTAGACCATGCAGGTATACACATAATGTATATAAACAGTGCAGGCATACGAACAATGGTAAATAGTGAGGCAGTACGACGGTGGTAGTGAGGGAGTGGTGGAGAACGTGTAGGTGTGACGGTGGTGGTGAAGGAGTGGTGGAGAACGTGTAGATGTGACGGTGGTGGTGAGGGAGTGGTGGAGAACGTGTAGGTGCGACGTCTAGTTTTGTCCTCACATCCCCAATAAAAGGGAAATTCTATAATACATACGAGGTAGAGTGAGTCAATTACCTTCCCATAATATTAGTTAAAGGTAAAAATCAAGATACGATTTTCTGAGAACGTGTCATTTTGTCGTAGATTCAATGAGTCGCTTTGATACGTTCTTAGCTGCCGTACCCCCTGTAACCTAATCTAACCCATAATGCCAAAAAGGTTTATAAGTTGTATTTGCCTCATAACTTAAAATGTCTATCTTTCCTAAATGGCTATATTAATATACAATGCAAACTAATATTCGCAATAGCTTTTCACGCTTGACATTAACATGTGCTCTGAACTGACTGTTTCACTTGGCATCAGCTGCCAGAGGCCTTCAATTAGTTTAGTAATTTCAAGTTTTTCTGTTATTTTTCACCCTAAAACTATGAAAGCGAGGAATCATCTTGTTACCGTAGAGTCTCAGAGAAATGTTTACGTCATTATGACCACTAGGGGGTGCTGGTGGTAAAGTGGTACCGCTCTTGCCTTCGCAAGCGAGATGTCACGGGTTCGATTCCCGGGCCGGTGGAAGTTTTTGGACATATTTCCTAGCCCCCATTAGTCCCTGTTCACATAGCAGTAAAGTAGGTACCTGTTGTAAATCGAAAGTTGCGAATTCGTATTCAGGGACAAGTTGTTGGAGCTTCCAATAACTTGATGACATTAACCATTGACTCTTCAGGCTTCTACGCCCTTAACTCATGAGACATAAAGGCAAGCATGAACTTAGCATGCTTCCCTGTTGGGTGCTGTAAACGCTTCTGCGCTTCACCTTACACAAGGATGTAGGGGAGTGCCCAAAATAAAAAAAATAAAAAATTATGACCACTCTTATTTATTTTTATTTTTTTGGTGTTTGTATATCCTGACGTTTCATAATATCAAGGGATATATATACTGATCGTTTGAGTGAGTGGAGTCAGTATCTCTCAGTATCAGTAGAGGTGTACAACTAGTGTCTCTCAGTATCTCTCAGTATCAGTAGAGGTGTACAAAAAGTGTCTCTCAGTGTCTCTCAGTACCTTACCGTATCAGGGAAGATACACTACTAGTGTCTCTCAGTGTCTCTCAGTATCAATGGAGGTGTACTACTAGTGTCTCTCAGTGTTTCTCAGTATCAGTGGAGGAGTACTACAAGTGTCTCTCAGTGTCTCTCAGTATCAATGGAGGTGTACTACTAGTGTCTCTCAGTGTTTCTCAGTATCAGTGGAGGAGTAATACAAGTGTCTCTCAGTGTCTCAGTGTCTCTCTGTATCTCTCAGTATAAGTAGAAGTGTATCTCACAGCATCAGTTGAGGTGTACTGTTAGTGTCTCTATGTATCTCTCAGTATCATTGGAGGTGTACTACTAGTGTCTCTCAGCGTAAGTGGAAGTATTTTACAAGTGTCTCTCAGTATCTCTGAGTATCTCTCAGTATCAGTGGAGGTGTACTACTAGTGTCTCTCGGTATCAGTGGAGGCGTATTACTAGTGTCTCTCAATAACTGTGAGAATTTACTACTCGTATCTCTCAGTATTTCTCAGTATCTCTCAGTATCAGTGAAGGTGTACTACAAGTGTCTCTCAGTATCTCTCAGTATCAGTGAAGGTGTACTACAAGTGTCTCTCAGTATCTCTCAGTATCAGTGGAGGTGTACTACAAGTGTCTCTCAGTATCTCTCAGTATCAGTGAAGGTGTACTACAAGTGTCTCTCAGTATCAGTGAAGGTGTACTACAAGTGTCTCTCAGTATCTCTCAGTATCAGTGGAGGTGTACTACAAGTGTCTCTCAGTATCTCTCAGTATCAGTGAAGGTGTACTACAAGTGTCTCTCAGTATCTCTCAGTATCAGTGAAGGTGTACTACAAGTGTCTCTCAGTATCTCTCAGTATCAGTGAAGGTGTACTACAAGTGTCTCTCAGTATCTCTCAGTATCAGTGAAGGTGTACTACAAGTGTCTCTCAGTATCTCTCAGTATCAGTGGAGGTGTACTACAAGTGTCTCAGTATCTCTCAGTATCACTGTAGGCGTGTTACAAAGGCCTCACAGAATCTCTCAGTATAAGTGGAAATGTACTTCTGGTGTCTCTCAGTATCTCTCAGTATTAGTGGAGCTGTATTACCAGTGTCTCTCAGTGTCTCTCAATGACTGAGAGAATTTACTACTCGTATCTCTCAGCATCTCACAGTGTGAGTGGAGGTGTTGGTCTAGTGTCTCTAAGTGTCTCTCAGTATCAATGGAGGTGTACTTCAAGTGTCTCTCAGTATCAGTGTAGGTTTACTACTAGTGTCTCTCAGTGTCTCTCAGTATCAGTGAATGTGTACAACTAGTGTCTCTCAGTGTCTCTCAGTATCTCTCAGTATCAGTGAATGTGTACAACTAGTGTCTCTCAGTGTCTCTCAGTATCAGTGGAGGCATACTACTAGTGTCTCTCAGTGTCTCTCAGTATCAGTGGAGGTGTACTATTAGTGTCTCTCAGTGTCTCAGTATCAGTGAATGTGTACAACTAGTGTCTCTCAGTGTCTCTCAGTATCAGTGGAGGCATACTACTAGTGTCTCTCAGTGTCTCTCAGTATCTCTCAGTATCAGTGAATGTGTACAACTAGTGTCTCTCAGTATCAGTGGAGGTGTACTACTAGTGTCTCTCAGTGTCTCTCAGTATCAGTAGACGTGTAGGACTATTGTCTCTCAGCATCAATGGAGGTGTACTATCAATGTCTCTCAGTATCAGTGGAGGTGTATTACTAGTGTCTCTTAGTGTCTCTCAGTATCAGTGGAGGCATACTACTAGTGTCTCTCAGTGTCTCTCAGTATCAGTGGAGGTGTATTACTAGTGTCTCTCAGTGCTTCTCAATAACTGTGAGAATTTATAACTCGTATCTCTCAGCAACTCACAGTGTTAGTGGAGGTGTACTACAAGTGTCTCTCAGTATCTCTCAGTATCACTGTAGGCGTATTACAAATGCGTCACAGTATCTCTCAGTATAAGTGGAAGTTTACTACTAGTGTCACTCAGTATCTCTCAGTATCAGTAGACGTGTAGGACTATTGTCTCTCAGCATCAATGGAGGTGTACTATCAATGTCTCTCAGTATCAGTGGAGGTGTATTACTAGTGTCTCTTAGTGTCTCTCAGTATAAGTGGAAGTTTACTACTAGTGTCTCTCAGTGTCTCTCAGTATCAGTGGAGGTGTATTACTAGTGTCTCTCAGTGCTTCTCAATAACTGTGAGAATTTATAACTCGTATCTCTCAGTATCTCTCAGTATCATTGGAGGTGTACTACAAGTGCCTCTCATTATCTCTCAGTATCATTGGAGGTGTACTACAAGTGCCTCTCATTATCTCTCAGTATCAGTGGAGGTGTACTACAAGTGTCTCTCAGTATCTCCCAGTATCAATGGAAGTGTACTATAATTGTCTCTCAGTGTCAATGGAGGAGTAATACAAGTGTTTCTCCGTATCTCTCCGTGTCAGTGTAGGTGACTACTTGAGTCTCTTAGCATCTCTCAGTATCAGTAGACGTGTAGGACTATTGTCTCTCAGCATCAATGGAGGTGTACTATCAATGTCTCTCAGTATCAGTGGAGGTGTATTACTAGTGTCTCTCAGTATCTCTCAGTGTCAGTGGAGGTGTACGACAAGTGTCTCTCAGTAGCTCTCAGTATCAGTGGAAGAATAGAAGAGGGAAAGAGGATGCAAACGAATGTATAGAGAAAGAGAGGGAGAAGAAGAAGAAGGGGTAGCTAATTGGAAAGGTAGAAACAGGGAAGTACAGAGGAGAGGGAGAGATGGAGACAGAGAGGTAAAGACAGGCACAAGGAGAGACAGAGAGACAGAGAGAATAAAGATAATTGAGATCAGAGATGATTCGGAGAAATTAAAGAGAATGGATAAAGGGGAGAGTAAAGTTGAGAATTAAAAGAAAAATGATAGGCTGCAGAATGAAGAGGGAGAATGAGAGGTATTATGGAGAGAGAGGAAATGTAATAAAATATAGAAAATACATAGAGAGGGATAAAGAGAGAAGCAAAGAAAAGAGACGATGTATAGATGTTAAGAGGGAATGAGAGAGATAGATAGACAAAAATGGGCGAAAGAAAAAGTGAAAGATAGAGAGAGAGAAAGAGAAAGAGAATTGATAGACAGAGAAGAGAAAGAGAGGAAGTGAAAGATAGAGAGAGAGAGAAAGAGAAAGAGAATTGATAGACAGAGAAGAGAAAGAGAGGAAGTGAAAGATAGAGAGAGAGAAAGAGAAAGACTATATAAACAGAGGAGAGAGACAAAAGATAAAAAGTGAATGCGGAAATTGGTAGAAAGAGAAACAAAGAAAAGAAAATGAAGCACTAGATAAAGAGAGACCAGATGGAGAGAGAGAAAGAGTGAGAGGGAGAGCGAGAGAGAGAGACAGAGAGGGAGACACCCAACAAGTACCACTGTGGGGGCGACATCACACAAGTTCCTGAGCTACAAAGGGAGATCACGCAATGTGTTTTGTTTTTCACATCTCTCGGGCATCAGAAAGTAAGGGTTCGCTTCCGGGAACTTAAGGGCAGACTGTGTATAAGTGTTGTGATCAAGCTAATGGATGGTTATTCATGTTGATGGTTTGTGTATTGTGAAATGTTGATTAGTTGAGTAAGAATTCATCTCAATTTACTTACTGGAAAGATACTTTCGTGTCCCCTCACCCTGGCCTACAGTAGAACAAAATTCCTAGTGGCTTGTCATTACACACTCACTTCTTACAATAGAATGATAATCGCTGGAAGACGTAACATACTGGTGTCACACTAATATGTTTGAGTGCATCAAATGTATGTGTGTGTGTGTGTGTGTGTGTGTCATGTTACACTTCACTTTATTATCAAAAACTTCACACATACGTACCTTGCCCTTAGCCAGCATTTCCTCTGCAGCGAAGACCTTGCCGCCGCAGCGTGGGCAGCCCTCACCGGGGTTTGCTTGGGGGGCCTTGTACGGCTTCACATAGTCGTTCCTCCTGCGACACAAGACAAACCCAGAAGCACAGGTTGAGCACCACAACACTCCAGGGGCGACATTCCGACGATCCGTGTCCGTTACACCGTCCACTACCTCTTAAACCTTTGGTTACTTCAATCTCTTGTGTGTAATTGATCGACCTGCCACTCAATAGGTGACTCTTGTGGACAATTGCTATCTGGGTATCTATGTGTGTGTGGGATGTGTCATTCCCAGGTATTGTGGGATGGTAGTATTTAAGCCTTTAATGCAGGTATCTAATAGCTGTTCCAATTTTCCTTGTCCTTTATGTTCACATACCAAGGCGAGTATATTAACCCTGTTTTTCTCAAAGTTAACTTTGGTGAATACTTATATTATGGTAAACAGTTCCCTATACCTTAGGTATTTGTTGTGACAGCCAGGAATGTGATGGCCAAGCAGGCAACTTTTGGCGACACCTGTACATTAGCTATACCTGGTATGTGATTACCCACCAGGTATCTCTTACAGACACTGACTAATTAGGTAGGGTTGTAATTTTGGTCTATTAAACTTATTGTTACTGTTTACACCTTCAAGGGCCCAAAGGCTGTGAAGAAACCAGGTGTGTGACTTTTGATACAACTTTGACGACAGAGAACGACCTACTACCTGGCTCCTGTTGTTGTTGTTGTTGATCATCTCTAATAGTTATCGTGATAACATCTTCTGGTCTCACTCTTCTTACTTTATAATCATATTTTAGTTTACTCAAATATGTAAGCTTTTTCTTTCTCTCTTGCTAACTTGTATTCTATTTCTTCACTTGGCCATATATATATATATATATATATATATATATATATATATATATATATATATATATATATATATATATATATATATATATATATATATATATATATATATATATATGCTGACCCAGGTACATATAACTATGGTTTACTGGTGTACATATTAAGTGTTACATCATAATACTCAGTCATTGTTGTGGCACCGCCTTCTTGAAGGTGGAAATGTAACACTGACTTAACACGTGTCTATACTACGTCGCTAGATAACAAGGGATGTATGGAAACTGTGCCGGTGGGTGACATGGAGGGCCAGTCCTGCAACAAATGCTTTTAGGTCAACAGATCTCTTGAGAGCAGAAGAGAAATATTGGATTCAATGGAATGGTTTTATACCTTTCTTTTATTAAGATTCCGGGCAAATCAGAGGTTAGAGGGCTTTCTCTATGTTTAGTGAGTGACAAGTAACCAAATTTAGACCACTAACACTGTCAACAACACTACCTAAGTGTAACAATGCAAATAAAGCTAACTTGTAGTTTTGCATTGGTTGCCAACTTGTGTTATGGTTGTTACGTTTCCACCTTCTTAAGAGCTTTTTTATCATACATTTTTTCTTTCTTTCCTTAGACCAAACTACTAGAGCCAAACGATGCCCGTATTGCCAACAAGGAGGAGCATGCACAGGTAAATCCATAGTTGATGCTTAGAAATGTTGCCTGAGAATGAGGTAGCTTTTGTGTTCCGAGGTAGAGGTCGAACTCTCACACTCAGCCTACATCAAGCAAGAGAAAGAGTGAGGGAGAGTGGGAGAGTGAGAGAAAGAGATATCCTTAGAGCAACAAGAGCAGTCCAGCTATATAGTGAAGTGCTGTCTCACAGGTACAGTTGACAGGCACTTAAGATGGTGAATGTTGAAAGGAAACCCAGGAATTCAGTTCTTTGTAGCGTATATTTCCTATAAAAATATTCCACAGAGGTTACAATAGGAACGTTGACTGAGCGTATAAAAATAGTTAGCACTATAAGCAAAAAAATAAAGCTTTAAGGCATAGCATAAATAAACATAATAAGCGTAGTGGGTGACTTAAACCCTAAATGAATGGCATTCTTTTTTTTTGTAACTGCTTAACAACCAATTGAGTTAGAGATGAGTGTGAAGTTTTGCACTAGTGTACTGTGTGAGGCCTCTCGCTGTACCGCCCGGGAAGTGCCCAGGGCGGCCAGCCAGGCTTGTGCTGGTCATGAGATCAACAGTTGTCTGCCACCCACACTGTTAGTGAGCTTAGCAAGAAGCAACTTATCGTATTCAAGGTATATCTCTCTCCTAAGACGGTGCACAACTGGCAGTAAGACCCCGACCTCATGGTGCGGCAGACAAGGCATTTTTAAGTGTCAGTCTGGCTTTGATGGTGTAGACGTCAGTCAGGAGACTGACGCCAACATTGTAAGCGTGTCATGACTGACGGGCTGTCCCTTCTGCCCTCACCACAGAGTTAAGTACCTACTAGTCAGCACCTTCCTGAGAGAGAGTCGTTTCGCACTAAAGTGAGCGTAAATAGCGTCGAATAAGAGGCGTAGCGCAGTTCGAAGCCGCGTGTAGCGTTGTGTAGCGTTTAAGCATTAAGCGCATAGCGTAGTCAGGCGTGATAGCTGAAGTACTGTGAAACAGTAAGCCAATACACACAATTTTTTGGCTTCGAACATAGCGTTCCAATCATATTTTCATTGATGGTGCGCTGGTGTAACTATAGCAGTGGAGACGAGACTTAAGTTAGTAATGAGAACAAGAGAGGAAGTCCACAAATCAGACACTGTCCTCAACAGTTTGACTACAAAAAATTTATCCAGATTTTGACTAAGTGTCTCCAAGGCAACAGCTTTCATCCCAGGCACTAACTAAGATCCTTGTGCTACCAGTCGGGCTCTACGCTTTTGAGTTTTCAAGACTGTTTATTGAGGCGTAGGAGGAGCATTTACTTCTTTCTGTGGGGAGGAAGGGGAAGATAGTGTGAGTCGCTTGAAGCGTCCTGGAGAGGCAGTATTTATCAGAGGGGGAAACTTCCCAACTGGTTATTGCAGACTGTTAGGCAACCAACTGCCAACAGTCTGACAGCTGCTCTTGACAGTTCTGACTTTTTATTAATGCACTGGGCTGTCTTTGACTGTTGACTGCATGCCACCTCTTTTATTTATTTTTACCACTGTTAAAGATGACGTGTGGCGCAGCTCCCCGTCTCACTGTGTGGCGGATACTTGCTCCCTCAAGTGACTCTTAAGGTAGCGATAACAGGTACGTGAAGTAACCAATTGAGAAGTTTCGTCTTAAAGGTATGATAAACCCTGATGATTATTAATTAAAAGCAAGAGAAGGCCCTCTATCCTCTGATTAAGAGGGAGTAAAATAACCAATTGAAGACGGAATCGATAATTAAAAAGAAAAAAAATGTAAAGAGTGAGTAGTTACTTTTTCAAGGAAGGAAACATATTATGGTCATAATAAAAATTTGACAACAAATATATTTTTTGCAGGTTAGGCTCCCATCTGTATGATTATGATCACTTATGAGAAATCGATCGCGAATTCATTGTGAAAGAAAAAACAATGAAGCTCGATGTGAAGTAAAACAGAAACAAAATAAAATTTGAGAAGTCTTACAATACATGTTAGTATAATGCAAGTAATGGATGAGTATGAGTTATAACAAGTGCCAGTATTGGCTGGTGATGCCCGCCCTCCCTCCCTCATCCTACTCTGTCATCATCCTAGTGCGTTGGGGACAATGTTCATGATTTATCTTTGATCCACCAACTGGGAAACAGACTCATGTGGCTCCCTGACACTGTGTTGAGCCTCAAGAATGGGAGTCAAGGAACCCCGAGTAACACTTGGTGACTGAGTCATCCTGCCACGTCCTACTGGGAGTTCCTGTCCTCATAAAGGCTGACACGAACTTGTCACTTGACCATTTAATACTTGTCCTTAATAATGAGGCACTGGTGATGTTTTATTGTACCAAATAAAGTACAACTCATTAAACTGTGTGGAAATTAATTTTATGAATAAGGATTACACGCCAATTGGAAACTTGATATGCCTTTCACGGACCTGGTAATGCGGTGTTGGACTTACTGGACGATGGGCTGTAGAGAAACCCTCCGGCAGCTCTTGAGGAGGCAACACGGTGGGTATCCTCTACAGTACACCGGCCAGTTCTCCCAGATCAGGTTACCAGGTCCGCTATTGACAACATATTTTGGGGATGTCAAAAGAACACACGAGAGGTAGGAACACTTACTCGAGGTGTGAGCCGGTATCCATGCTAAGGCCAGCAGCGCCACCGCCGAAGCCGTAGCCCTTGGGACCAAACTTGCGGCCGTGGCAGGTCTTGCAGTATAGCACATTCTCGTGCATGTTACAGTTGGTCGAGTCCAACATCTTATTGCACATACCTGGCGGGTTAAGAGTTGAACATACTCTGTGTTAGTCTGATGAACTGTTGTGCACGATATATTTGTCTATTTTTTTGTGCATTTGGTGTAAGGAAATTGGTGAATAGTTTATAAATACTTAATACTAATTATCCTTGATTGTGGTGAACACTGTTGGCGTAACAATGTGATGAATACAATGTGTGTGAGAGACAGACTGTAATTATACTTGGGTTATGAAATGAAGCTGTTGAACTTGATCATGACATGAAGGTATTGAGGAAAGGTGTGACCTGAAGTAACTAAGAACAAGAAGTACTTACTGCACTTGTAGCATTCCTTGTGGAAGGACACGTCGCCCACCACCCGAGCCTCGGCGTGGTATACAGACTTCTCGCACTTGGGGCATTTTGGGTTGGTTGGAGCCTTGAACGGCATGTCTGCGGCGATGGTCGGCCTGGGGGAGGAGCACCTTCAGTTCTCCCATCACTTTATACTTATATTACAACACAACACACTACATCAGTAACTCAACACACTATATTGGCAACACCTATACCAGTAACGCACTACACTGACGCACTCTACCAACGATATAATATACAGCCTACATTGCTGTATTAAACGGAAGACTTTAAACACTGAATATAATGATCACTGCAGCATTACAAATGCGGAACTTGAAAAAAAATCAAGAAACGAAAGTCGGAAATTATGAATATACAGTGAACTGCGTCTCTCGGCCTCTTCGGTTATATGTCAAGACAAGCCTTCATGACCGGCCTCCCTGGAGGTCTTGGTGATTGGCAGAGGTCAAGAATACCAGGTGTATGTACGGAGTGGTGGCAGGTGGCAGCGGGGGCGGCCGGCATCTTCACCTGCCAGCCAAGTCACCCGCTAATTTTGGCCCTCCGTGCCAGGGCCATTTATAGTCGGGTTGGCTGGCACACCCGGCCCTGGTTCTCCCGCACCGCGCGCCTCTCCCGGTCACCAATCTTCATTCATTACTAAAGCCTAAACTTTAGATATGTATATACAGAGAGCTGACTTGTGGGGCAGATGAACACTTTGTGCTATTTTCTCAATATGCTCAGTAAATTCCATGGTATTAGACTATTCCATGGTATTAGACTATTCCATGGTATTAGACTATTCCATGGCATTAGACTATTCCATGGTATTAGACCATTCCATGGTATTAGACTATTCCATGGTATTAGACTATTCTAAGATATTAGACTATTCCATGGTTTAGACTATTCCATGGCATTAGACTATTCCAAGATATTAGACTATTCCATGGCGTAAGTAACCACTTTGCTGCCCCGTTAGGCATATGCAAATCATGATGTCACCGACTCGTCCCCGTCGGGCAGATGGACATCAAAGCATGGTGGTCACCCCACGAGACATATAGACACTAAAATAACATCTATGTATTGATAACAGAGAAAGATAATACAGTAATCATCACTCCAGAAGCAAGTAGAGGGCAAGTCTGTTTAGCCCTGTCGGTGAAACTAACGAAATATATGTTATAACTATCACCCCATGGGGTGAAAGTCTTCACCACCCCCACGTGATAGGTGAGGGGTGGAACCTTCACCACCCCATGGGACAGGTGAAGGTAAAAGCCTTAACAACCCATGGGGCGGGTGAGGGGTACAAATGTTCAGGGATAAACAAGCCCACACATAAAGTTGAAGACTGTTCAACGCTCTTACTGCATGCAATAAAAAACTCTTTTCAATTTTGTGTTACACAATATGACACAGCGGATGAAGGATTTTGGCAGTTCTACCGAGACAATAAAGTTCGCAATGTTTATTTTTAAATTCAGCGGATCTATCCGTAAAGATACGTTATAATTGTGTGCACACACCTTCTCTTGCCATCACACTGTGTGAGTTTCTTACTCCCACCTCATTTATACAGATACAAAGGTTGAGAAACATAAGAGACCCAGGATAAGGAAACACCCTACGTGAGAGTGCACACTGTGCTCAGTTCTCTCCCACAACCAAAACTATAAACAAAATGCCTGCCAATGATTTTGTGAGTATGAAAGTCTTAAAACTGTCATCTCTATGGAAGGCGCTCAACAAAAACTTAAGGATATGAAAGGAACTGAATTAAAGAAGGGCGTCTTCCACCAAGTAGATTTACATCACATCAGTAAACTAACCACACACAACTGTCAACCAGTCTACTGTAGTTAAACACTTGGTGACCTGCCTGGGGGAGCAGCTTAGTTAGTTCTCTCTGGGGGAATTAAGATGATGAAGAGAGAAATAGAGAGAAAGACCTTCTTGACCAGGTCGTGACTCTGTAGGTCACTGAGTGAGTGTCTCTTGGAGGTTTCCCTAGTGTGGGTCTACGGCGCCTCACTCACCTGTAACTCACCACAGCAACACCAGAAATTCAACAACTGTGCAACACTTGTGCTCCTGTGACCGGGAAATTACCACAGAGGCGGCACGGAGCACATCACAACATCTGCTGTTTGGTACTACGATACTGGGGCCTTCCTAGACCGCCCTTACGGGACTTGTGAACACCATTAGAGCGTTGCCGCCACTACCACAGACATACAGAAGCCGTAGAATAAGAGAGCGTACACGGGCTAAGGTGTAGTAAGTTTGAAGCACAAGTATGAATAACTCGCAGTGGGTCACACGGCAGAGAACGTCTTACACGACAGGGAATGTCTCACACGGCAGAGACTATCTCACACGGGCAGGTAATGTCTCACACGGCAGAGTCTCAGACGACCTGAGTATTTCACAGAGATAGTCTCACACGGCAGCAGAGGTAAGAGAGGGGGCCGCCTACCTTCTCACACGGGCAACACTACAGGCTGGCTAGCTGCTCCTTCCTCCTCGGATGGACACTGCCTCTCGACTCCTCGCCTTATTACGATTGAGGACCAAGTCAGCCCGGCCTCAGGTTTTCTTGGAGGCGCCGCCCCCTTCCTCGCCCTCGTGCCAGGAATACCCCGCTGCACACGGCACCCGTCTTCTCGACCCCTGCTGGTGCCGTGTGCAGCCCGGGGCAGGAGAGGGTAGTAGGGGTAGTGGGCGGCGGCGACGACCCTGCTGCTGCTGCTGCTGCTGCTGCTGCTGCTGCTGCTGCTCCCTCTATACAGATAGAGAACATTGTTTTGATCATCGTTTTCCTACTACTAATATAATCATCCCCATACCATAATAGGAACTACTTTATGGACGTTTATATAATTGATACCTTTTAAAGATCGTTCATTACAGTATAATAGGTACTACTGAAGGAAACGTTCACACAATAGGTACTACTGAAGGAAACGTTCACACAATAGGTACTACTGAAGGAAACGTTCACACAATAAGTATTACAGAAGGAAACGTTCACTTAATTGGTTTTACTCAAGGAAACGTTCACACAATATGTCCTACTGAAGAAAACGTTCACACAATCGGTACTACTGAAGGAAACGTTCACACAATAGGTACTACTGAAGGAAACGTTCACACAATAAGTATTACAGAAGGAAACGTTCACTTAATAGGTTTTACTCAAGGAAACGTTCACACAATATGTCCTACTGAAGAAAACGTTCACACAATCGGTACTACTGAAGGAAACGTTCACACAATAGGTACTACTGAAGGAAACGTTCACACAATAAGTATTACAGAAGGAAACGTTCACTAATAGGTTTTTCTCAAGAATACGTTCACACAATAGGTACTCCTGAAGAAAACGTTTACACAATCGGATCTATTGAAGGAAACGTTCACTTAATAGGTATTACTCAAGGAAACGTTCACACAATAGGTACTACTGAAGAAAATGTTCACACAATAGGTACTACTGAATGAAACGTTCACACAATAGGCGGTACTGAAGAAAACGTTCACACAATAGGTGGTACTGAAAGAAACGTTCACACAATAGATGGTACTGAAGGAAACGTTCACACATTATGTTCTACTGAAGGTAACGTTCACACAATAGGTATTACTTATAATATACACGTTGAAAGTAATTATTAAGTATAAGTAACATTAAGTATAAGTAGTATTAAGTATAATTAGTATTAAGTATAAATAACATATAAGTATAAGTATTTTAAAGTATAAGTAGTATTAAGTATAAGTTGCATCAAATATAAGTAGCATTAAGTGTAAGTATTAGTAAATATAACCAGTATCCTGTATAACTAATATAAAGAATAACTATATCTGACTTACTACAGACCAGTGTGAAGGGTGTACAGTACCTCTCACACGTGTACACTGACTGTTGAAGCTGTACTCTGAATTAAGAACAGAATATACAGTATATTGTACAGTATTTTTTTTCAGTATAACCCAGAATATCAACAGTTATAGAGAGACTTTATTAACAGGTATATTAAGTTACCATCAACAGGTAGACTATTATATCATCATCAGGTAGACTATTACACTATCAACAGGTAGACTATTACATCAATAGGTAGACTATTACACCATCAACAGGTAGACTATTACATCATCACCAGGTAGACTATTACACCATCAACAGATAGATTATTACAGCAATAGGTAGACTATTACACCATCAACAGGTAGACTAATCCATCAACAGGTAGAGTATTACACCAACAACAGGTAGATTATCACACCATCAACAGGTAGACTAATCCATCAACAGGTAGACTAATCCATCAATAGGTAGACTATTACACCAACAACAGGTAGACCATTACATCACCAGGTAGACTGTTACACTATCAACAGGTAGACTGTTACACTATCAACAGGTAGACTATTATATCAACAGGTAGACTATTACACCATCAACAGGTAGACTATTATATCAACAAGTAGACTATTACATCATCAACAGGTAGACTATTCCATCAATAGCTAGACTATTACATCATGAACAGGTAGACTATTACATCAACAGGTAGGCTATTACATCAACAGGTAGACTATTACATCAATAGGTAGACTATTACACCATCAACAGGTAGACTATTATATCAACAGGTAGACTATTACATCATCAACAGGTAGACTATTATATCAACAGGTAGACTGTTACATCATCAACAGGTAGACTATTACATCAATAGCTAGACTATTACATCATGAACAGGTAGACTATTACATCACCAGGTAGACTGTTACACTATCAACAGGTAGACTGTTACACTATCAACAGGTAGACTATTATATCAACAGGTAGACTATTACATCATCAACAGGTAGACTATTACATCAATAGCTAGACTATTACATCATGAACAGGTAGACTATTACATCAACAGGTAGGCTATTACATCAACAGGTAGACTATTACATCAATAGGTAGACTATTACACCATCAACAGGTAGACTATTATATCAACAGGTAGACTATTACATCATCAACAGGTAGACTATTACATCAACAGGTAGACTATTACATCAACAGGTAGGCTATTACATCAACAGGTAGACTATTACATCAATAGGTAGACTATTACACCATCAACAGGTAGACTATTATATCAACAGGTAGACTGTTACATCATCAACAGGTAGACTATTACATCAACAGGTAGACTATTACATCAACAGGTAGACTATTACATCAACAGGTAGACTATTACATCAATAGCTAGACTATTACATCATCAACAGGTAGACTATTACATCAACAGGTAGACTATTACATCAATAGGTAGACTGTTACACCATCAACAGGTTGACTATTACATCAACAGGTAGACTATTACATCAACAGGTAGACTATTACATCATCAACAGGTAGACTATTACATCAACAGGTAGACTATTACATCAACAGGTAGACTATTACATCATCAACAGGTAGACTATTACATCAGCAGGTAGACTATTACATCAACAGGTAGACTATTACATCATCAACAGGTAGACTATTACATCATCAACAGGTAGACTATTACATCAACAGGTAGACTATTACATCAGCAGGTAGACTATTACATCAACAGGTAGACTATTACATCAACAGGTAGACTATTACATCAACAGGTAGAGTATTACATCATTAACCGGTAAACTATTACACCATTAACTGAAGATTGAAATATATTATCTTATACTATGTATAGTGAGTTAGTAAAACAGTTATAATATTTTATAAAGAGTTCAGATAATATGGCGCGATAGTGATTTTTAACACACACACACACACACACACACACACACACACACACACACACACACACACACACACACACACACACATACATTCTTAACCACTAGAGTAAGACAATTTAACACCTTTAAGATTATAACTAAAATTATAGTCCTTAAAATAGTCGTCCCTTAAAACATCGTCCTCAAAGAGTTAACAGATTAATTCATTGTTGTTTATTGCTAATAAAGAAGTTGTTTTAAATAATAAAAAGTTATTCAACTCTTTCCGCGTTAAGAATTTGTCATAAAATGCATTAAGCTGCACTTCCTAAAAAAAATTATAACTTCCTCACAAATTGAAATAAAACCTCCATCAGTTTGATCAGTAAAGAGAGCATTTGGCCTTGCTAGACGCGCGCCAAAAATGGGATTATCTCAGATGATTTTTTTAGGAGGGAGGAGCGGGGGAGGGGGTAGAGGGGCTCCGCTGAGTTAAGAGGCGGATCTGATGCCAAAGATTGCTCGGTGTTTCCCCTTACACTCTGACCGGCCGCTCAGATCACTTCCCACACATTGAACTACCGCTCAGATCACCTCCCACACATAATGTTGACCCCCCACCACACACACACATCTCGTACAACTTAAGTGTAAAATAAAACTTCTTTCTGTTGAACTTAATCTTAACCTTCCTTTTCTTGAATCAAACTGAAAAGTAACGTTTTTTTTTCTAGCTTAGTGCAGTAATATATGCTCGCCAAAGCATCAAATATAGTTACAAAACGTTCAATATGGCCACCAAAATGTCTGTCAAAACATCTTTGGTGCTCACCAAACATGTGTCTTCGTCAAATTATCTCAAGTATTCGCCAGAACAAAATTATAAATTTGCCAATACATCACATGTGCTCGTCAAAGCACCTTATGTACTCCCCAAAACGTATGAGTTCGCCAAAGTATCTCATGTGCTCGCCAAAACACAATTATGTCTTCGGCAAAGCATATATCTTCACCCAAATATTTCATGTGCTCCCCAAAGCACTTTCAACCTCAGCTGTTTTGTTTCCATCATAGAAGTGTTTACCCGAGCGGTGTGTGTGTGTGTGTGTGTGTAACGTGTGTGTCTGCATCACCTAAAGATTAGCCACTCCAGCTTATTTCACCTGATTATTAAACACTTTAACGCTGTCCTGGAGGAGTTAGGTTAGGTTAGGTTAGGTTAAGTTAGGTTAGCTTTAGATGGTTCATCTTAAGGGGCAAAATGCTGGGATGGCTAGTCTTCAGATGATCGGGTTCTCTCAAGACACACACACACACACACACACACACACTCACACACACACACACACACACACACACACACACACACTTAACCAAATTTTCATACAATACGCTTGAAAAAGAATACATTACATTAATATCGCTCCCATGATCTATCTTAATTTATATGTGGTTTGACAGCGAAGATAAAAAGGTATCCCCCACTTTCCAATTAAGAGGTTGTTGTGATGTAACGCTAAAGTGGGCAATTATCCCTATAATTTTGTGTAAATGAAGCTAAATGTTTAAATATTATAGAAGTGATCCGTGTTAGGACGAACGAACACGACAGTGAAGGAGAGAAGTGATTTAAATATACTGTAGAGCGGCACACATAGTCATCCATTGGCTACGATATATCGCTAATATTTTTAGGAATGTGATATATTACTATTAGATAATCTAGAGTCATTAGTATAGCGATATATTAGTATTGCATGAAGTGGGAGTTAATGTCTCTTTGTTGTGGAGAAATATACCCAGTGTGTACATTGAACCACGAAGTT